GTTAGAGGGAAATATGGCTGGGGAGTGTCTGGCTTGCAAACCCAACACCATTTGGCTGAGAAGTGATGCTCTGTGGATCTCTGCTTGTCCCTGGTGTATCTACAGCAGCTCTGACACTGGGAGCATGGAGCAGGGGAGAAGCACTGTCTGGACTTCAGTGGTAGTAAAGTGGTGTATGTCTGTGTGTAAGTGGGACGTTAAGAGTTCAGCCCCAAAGGTTACAACTAGGAAGGAAAGTAATGTCCTTTCTGCTATAGTGTTTTGCTTTGTTTTCTTTTTCTCCAAAAATACCATCTCCAATGGAATCACAGCCAGAAGTATTTTTGCTAGTTATTAATTAATGAGGGGTGAAATCACTTGTTTTGTGAAATTCCACACATTCTACTTGAAATTTTTAGATATCTCGGTCTTAATCCTTCTTTTTCCTCACCCCCTGCTCTTTCCCAGCCCAAACTCTGGTGTGGAGTGGCGTAGGGTCATTTGTTACACTGTGTAGATCTCAGCTCTCCTCGAAAAATAAAACCCAAGATCAGTTCCAAGCCACTGAGCTCCCCAGGCCACCTGTGAAAGCTGCAGTCCCGCAGCATTTCAGTCCTCAGTGCTGCAACATTTTGCTTGACTACAAACTGCAAAATAACTACCTTTAGACAAAACAAACACCAGATTATTTTGCATTTGCTTCTTTATTCTACAACACAAGCAACATAAATAGTTTTTAATTTTTTTGTTTTAAAATATTTCCATTTCAGAATTCAGTCTGAACAAAATATACACAAAATACAATTTGCAAGCCAGCTTACAGTGACTTCCTGACCAATGGACACTGAAGAACCAAACAAAGCAGCACAACGGAACGCAGCAGATACAGGAAGGTGTTATTCTAAAGAATAGGAGAAAGGTAGAGGGAGGAAACATGAATCAAACTGGGGAACTGCAGCTTGGTATGAACTCCGTAGAAGGTAAATCCAGCGTAAGAACTCTAGACATTTATAGTCTCTCTTTAAAAACATTAGTGGCTCCTCCTGAATATACAGTCATAGAGACGAAATCCTGGGAATAATGCTTTGTAATAAAATGCTTTCTGTGGCAGCCATCATCATGGAAATAGAATTTGCTTTTTATTTTGGAATAGGAATAATCAGATCTTTGGCAAAATGGAGTGTCTACTCCCTTTGGCTTTCTATCAGTTTTCAGCTCTGGTCAGAGGGCCCATGGAGTAAATTCGCGGTATCATAAATAATGACAAAAATGGAGGTGGGGAAGGGGAAGGTGAGGGGAACTAAATGAAGTTGCTCGCTGCTGTCACTTCATACTTTCACACCTCTTGCTCCCATCTGCTCCTTGAAATGATGTGCAGCGCAGGGCTCTGCTACCACATGGCTTGGCCCTTCCTGGCTGCTCTCACTTTGGTATCAAATCGTGCTTTCTTCCACAGATCTGGGGGCTCAGGAGCCATGGCTTGACTGGGGAGGTGGTATTTGTCCCTGCAGCTCTCCTGCTTCCCTTTGCTTCCTGGGGAAGCATGGTATTTCACCACAGACTAAGCAAAGGTGTGGAAAGGAAATAAGGAATAAGGCCTTAATGCTCCACAGGTGGAAGTACGTAACTACTTTTTGATGAGTGGGATGTTGAGTTGCAAGAATTGAAACAGATCCTCCTGCCACTTTTTGTTAACAAAGAATGCCTTCCATAACCCCAGTTCCCTGAAATGCTGTGGCAGGGGCGAGTAAGCAAACCTTTGCTTGTGAATTTGCCAAAAATAAAGAGGATTTGAGGGATCTGGTCCCACAGGCAAGCTCATTATTGCATTAATCCAGGATCATGCAGCGTAGCTCCACTGATATCCATAGTCAAAATTAGGGCATTTCCCCTGCTCTCTGCTTCTGGTTCTTGTCTTGGACCTCTCAGCATTAAGTGAAAAGAACAGTGCATACTTATGCTAGGTGCTTTGTTATTTTCATTTTAAATAGCCAGCCTGTCATGTTTGTCCAAAGCTGTTTAGTATGAAATGAAACTGTAGTTAGCATCACATATAAAGGGGCAGTAGTGGAGATAAAAGAAAGAGGAGGTGAGATTTCTTCCATGCAACTGTACAACTTCCTGGAGAGCCAGGCATGTTGCTGGTGAGTGCTGCTGATAGACCCTTATGTTGTATCCCTACAGAAGCTCTGCTCAAAATGGGGAGACTCAGAGAAGAGGGGTCAGTAGCTGCCAGATGTTATCTACATTGCATAAAATCCAACATTTGTGCTTCTGTGCTGTGGTAAGTTGGTCCTTTTATACTGAAGGAGAAGGTATATATATTTTTTTAAATTGATGGTATTGCATCATTTCTTTAAAGAATTGTGGAGTTATCAGACATTGAGGAAAAAGAGAATCTATTTGTCTAATTTCATATGCCATGCTTACTACTATAAACAGATCTTCCCAGAAGTGATTATAACCAGAATATTGATTAAATTGCTTGCTTAAGCATAATCTTATCATACCCTCACAGAAATAAGATACGGGAAGGGAAGAATTGGTTGAATTTGTTAAATTAAAAACAATTTATCACTGATTAATAGCATTTCTAATTGCTAAAAGTGAAAATGGCTAAATTCTGCACGCTCAGTTTCCAACTAAGCTTGTATACAAGAGCTGGTTAGAAATGAAGGCTTGCTATGGTTGGCTTCTTGCACGTTAAAACTGGATCTGTGCAAGAGTGAAGGTTCTAGTTTTAGTCTGGGAGCACTTTGACGCACAGGAATGTGTGCTGTTTTTTTGTGGAATTCCAGGAATGAGGTGTATAAAGGGCCACAACAGATAGCAGGAACTACACAGGACTTTCCCCTTCCTGAGAACTTGTTGACTTGTATGCAAGAATTGAAGGATTCAAGGACTGAGTCCAGAGTATAAATATTCCCACTAATAACAATGGCTTGGGCAGTCTGAGAGCGGGCCTAAGCTGTAGCAGGAGATGGCAAATGCAGGCAGCACACACAGCTGGACCTCTCTACTTGTTAGCCTGTTTGACACTCAAGTTTCATACTGGTCCTGCGCTGAGTTCTGAAGTGGAGATACCAGCACTGAGATACCACTATATTCAGAGCAAATGGAGATTACATAAGGTAACATGGGGTATTCAGAGGTGGGAATTACCTCTTGGGCAAGTGAGAACTCATTGGTGAATTTTACAGTAAAGTTAAAGAGAACTTGAAGCTCAAATTCAAGGCAAAGTACCTTGCTGGGTCAAACCATGGGTGAAAACTCTGCTTGTCCTCCACAGAAGCCAGCTATACTCCAGATGAAGTGTATTGTTTTATTTGTGATGAGACAAAAGCTGTGTTTGGCATTTTACAAGAAAAAGTTCTGCCCAGGTCTATGTAACCCTTTCCCTAATAATTTTGTCTGGATGCTGAATGAAATTGATTATGATAAATGTCTATTCTAGGAGAGAATTAAATCCTAATGTCCTGATGAAAGCATGTTAACCAGGAGATAAATGTTCTGATTCAACAGTAGTTGGTTCTATGCTGCTGTTACCTTGCACAGTGGGCTACAAGGCTATAAGAATTGGAACGTGTTATGTGAGGGAGATGCATGGAGGGGTGCTTTGCACTGCTGGATGTGTTGGGGTGGTCAGAGCTAGGAGCTAGTGCCAATAATCTTCTCTGGGACCATTCTGTGCAAGTTCCTTCTCTGGGCATGAAGCTTGCGCTGTGAGGCTTGCAAGCACTGAGCTGGCAGCTTTAGACCAAGTGGTCCGAAGAATGAATGGAACAAAGCACACAGGCCTACAAAATGGTAACTTCACACTCAGCATTTTGCTTCTTTGGGGCTTGCTAATGTCTATGGCTAAACTAGCAAAAAAAAAAAAGCCTGATGAACCAACTCCACATGTTGCTCTCAGACTAATAGCTCCTGAAGTGATGGTAAGCTGTCCTCACCTGCTTACCATTTTGCTCAGAAGGAAAAGGAAGAGCAACACCTGCTAAAGATTGCTCACCTAACGCCTGCTGCCACAAAGATTCCTTTGTGCTCTTCCCATCCTTTTACATGATATTTCTGGAATGATGCAGTTACTTACATCCTCATATGGTTTCCTAAGGGAGGGGTATGGGCAAAGAGAGGCACTAAGGGTGACAATGGGCACTTAGTGTATAATTTGGAAGGAGAAGTTTAAAATGCATTGCAGTACAGCAGTGCTTTGGTTGAGCAGCTTGCTAAGCAGGTAATGCTGGGTTGGGCTGTGTTCAGGTGCTTGGCTGGGGGCAGTCATGTTCATTCCTAGAGCTTCTCTTTCTGATTTACAGACAGTATGGAACCATGGTGTTTCCTAAACAACTGGCCCCATTCTGGAATCCTGAGTGACTCCCTTGGTACTGCTATCTGTTTTACTTCTCCAACATAAATTAAGGATTTGCTTTAGTTTTGGGTAAGCACAGTGAAAATCTCAATCCCTGAAATGAATGTATAATGAAAAATAGCACATTTGAGTGCCCTTGCATGCAGGTGTTTATTCTGATTCTGGCTGTTGCCTAATTAACATCCTGCCTTAAAAGCAGTTCTGTATAGATACCAAATAAAAAGATAAAAAAATATATAGCCACCTTTTTTACTCAACCTAAAGATGTGTACGAAAAACATGGCAACAGAAATCTAACAATACGCTAAGGGCTTGGAATATAATCTCACCTGTCCCCAAGGAAGTATTCCAACTGTTGGGAAAACTGACATTTGATACTACTATTAAATTACTTATGTATCAAGTCAGTGTGCATGGTAAGAAGGAGTTGTTTTTGTGGAATTTTTGATGTTCCTGGAATAATTCTGCAAGTAGAGTTCTGATAGTAAGAGGAACAGTGTGACAGACACTGCAGAATGGTATAGGACAAAGTATGCCCCACACAAAAATCTAGCAGTTGGCAAATGGGGAGTGGGTGATGGAGGGCAAAGGCAGGATGACAGTGACAGATTCTTAGTAAATGCATCAGCTGGGGTGAAGGCTATTCAGCACATTTTTTTTTTTTTTTTTTTTTTTACTGACCCTCTTAGGTTCAAGATGCTAAAAACAGTTGAGCAAAGTCCAGGACTGATGTAAAAAGATGACGTTTTTTGAGGATGCAGGGACCGAAGATGTATATCTAGTTGGTATGAACATTTAAAAAGTCTTGGAAGAACATCATTAAGGGATCACCCAAGATTAAATTAGTTCTGATGAATTATTTAAACATCTAATCAAGAAAATGATGTAGTATAGGAGTACAAGTCCCTGTCACATAATTTGTGAAGCAAAAGTAACCCTTCACTGTGTCCAGTGTGAATATTTGACAGTACAGTAGTCAATCCTTCCACCTCTCCCCCGCTAATAATACTGGCAGATTGTAGTAGTCCTTATAGAAGCACTGCACAGAGGGAGTATGTACCTACATAAGACTCTGTTCCCTGTTTACTACAGCAGATGAGAAAGGGGAGAGAAGCAGAAAGGTTAGTTACATTCTTTTTAGGCTATTTTCCATCTTGATGAACTTCCACATAGAGTGATAGGCTAAATTTAGTGTAAGGGTCCTGACTGCAGTAGTTAGAATAGATGCTAAAGTCAGCTTAGCTGCAGTGTTGCTTCAACTGGAGGAACACTTCACTGTGTTGTGAGTGCTGGATATTGGCATGTAGACCGGCTGTAGCTTTGCTCTGTGGTGTGTTTTCCCCTCTAGCTTCAGAGAAAACAGCAAAACAAACTTCCTGTAGCCTTTTGGAGAAATTATATATGTGGAAAAATCACCACCTGTGGTCATAGCTGAAGTAGCCAGAGTGATGCTGTAGAGAAGGCAGGTTGACAGTGCCTTTTTTCCCCAAGCATTACTTCAAAGGGTAATGAAAGGACAAATAGCCTGTGCTTGGTTCACCAGTTTAAGACCTGGGATACTTTAACAATCACTCACTTGCTACTCTGAATATCACCAGATTTCAAAGGCTCTTCTCAGAGCAAAATAAATTTCGACTTTCTTCAGTTAGCAAGGCATATAGTACTGTAATAATCTTTATTTGGCTTTCCTCTCATGCCAATTTCTGAATGGAAAAAGTTACTCTGAACAAGTGCCACCTTTTTATTTATGTTTTGTTATATAGGTCTTGCTTGCCTGGTTTGATGGTTCCATTCATAGCTAATTACAAGTGTGGATGTTTACCTAGAGTTTGTGACTCCTGCTGCTGTAAATTTGAATCTAAATGAAGGTTACTGAAATGTATTTTGACTTCAGATACCAGTCTGATTTACTGGCAGATTCTGGGGTCATTCCATACCCCCAGACACATCCATGCTTCAGCTGCTCTGCGAGTATGTGTGAGGAACACAGTCCCAAGTGGATAGGGGAAATGTATCAATAAGCTCGTTGTTTCTTAATTTATCACCAACAAATAGGCAGTTAATGAACCCCAAATACCCCTTTGCTGTATATCCTGGCTGTCTTCTCCCCTTTGCAACAGAGCACAGCTAGTTTAAATGATGATATCGTACACACGGCCCACTCTTCCCAGCCATTCCCGTACTGCCTGACGAACACGGATATCAGTCACATGACAGGTCAGCTGGCTGATACACGGGAACACTGCTGGCTGGAGGGCTGTGAAAGTTTGGTCTGGTAGAGCCTGAATCTGGCTGAGAACTGTCAGCACCATGTTCGTCCATGCCTATAAAATTGGATAAAAAAAAAAAAAAAAAAAAGACTCTTCAGAATACCTTTCTATATAGAGAAGTCTATCAGATTAGAAAGAAAAGGCATCTTATCACTGCAGCTTCATGAGGAAGGCTCAGCAATACCAGCATATTAATTTATTGTTGACTGCACAATTCAGTACTGTATGTTGCTGTTTGACTTTGTATTTCATGTATCAAGATCACTCTTCATCACCTATTATTTCATCCCACACCGAACAAAGATTTAATGCTTTTGCTAATTTGATTACTCAGACATACAAATAAGTTCCTATTTAGTAACAGAGCCCACTATTTCTGCTTTGGAATTAACAAAAAGCTTATTAAATAAAAAAGCATTACACCAAGTACCCTCACATTTTCAAAAGCCCTCAGTAGGCTGGAGCCCATAGCAGTAAGCAGAGTTCATTGTTGGTTGTTTTTAGGAAAGTGCAGTTTTGGCCTCAATCACAGAAAAACTCTTGGAAGCTGTACTGGTATATACCTGATAACATCTTCCCATAAGATTGATTTTCTTTTGATGGAACAGAATAAGGTTTTTCCAGTGCCAGGTGCTGAAATATTCAGTCCTCATCATGATGATTTATTTAGGTAAGGTAGACATATGAAGAGACTGTTATTATTGTGATAAAAGCAACAGAAAAATACTTTAGATATATTTTAAATTATTGCCGTTATTAGCATTCTTTAAGTGTCCTACCTGTATCTGGGCCTCTGCATCCCTGACAGATATATTCAGGGAGCTGACTGTGGATCCTGAGCGTGGTCTCTTCTCTTGTCTTAGAATCTCTGGGCCAGCACTGAATGAATGCCTCATTTGACCTTGGTCTATAAGATGTTGTGGCCTCTGGAGTATGGGTGAGTCCTGCCCTCTGGAGCCCAGGAGCTCCCCTTTCTTTTCCACTTTGACCTCTTTGGTGAAGGATGTCATGGCCTGCTGCTGCTGCTTTCTTTTTTTGTACTCTGTCATGAACTTAGAAATGGTTTTGTCAGTGGCTATGGTGTAGATCTTATTGCCAGCACTCTCCCACCATTCTTTTTTCCTGTTTTGTTCTTTTTTCTCTGGTTTAGGACTTGAGAGTGGGGGTAGTAGCAGCATTTCTCCACTTCGTGGTGTTAGGCTGTCTCCCAGTTGGTCCCTTATTTGACTCCGGTCATCTTCTGATGGAGTGTCCTTCCCAGACTGCCCTCCAGTTGATGGGGTGGAGGTTTCTGAATGAAAGGATGGTAAAATGAAGAACGGGTCGCCTTTGAACACTGGAGGCTCCTCTGTGTTATTCTCCAGGTCTAGGTGCATCTGGATATAGTTGTTGCACAGTTCCATGCAGAGCTTATGAAGTCGCTTGATCAGCCATCCCCAGTCTGCATTGCTGACAGGCTGTACACTCAGAGATGGTATTCGAGCCCTCCACTGTCTCTTCTCTTTTCCCCGAGGAGGACTGACCTGGGCAGTTTCTTCAAAAATGTCTTCATCTTCTGAAGAGCACTGTTGTGATGAGTCAGTGCTTCTCTCATCGTCCTCAAAGAGGATCTTCTTCACTTGCTCTGCAGTGATGTTCTCCTGGTTTGTCAGGATAGCACAAATCAAAGCATGGAAATAAATATTGAAGCTCATTGCTGACTGGCGATACAGGTTGGCAGCTCCACTAATGCCAGACACTTTTTTTAGCAAGCACTTCAGCCCGGGCCTGGTGTCAAACTCTCTGGCTGTTCTATAGGAGTCCAGCAGTAAGTCAAAGATGACAGCCAAGTTTTGCATGGAGATGTACCTGAGAAAACCAGCCAACTTGTTTTCTGGTACTTGTATTGTCATTTTCTCCTCCAGGTTAGAAGGGCCTTTAACAAATTCTTCCAGTAAGATGTCATATAAATTCTGGAGCAGTACTTGGTGTGACAGCAAGCTCACCACTATCGTCCTAAAAGGAATACTTGGTAAACCAAGTATAGGAAGGAAAAAGAAATTTAATTGTATGTTACATTTTTACTACAAGTATGCCAGTATTTCATGTTTTAGAATCTAACATGAAGGATATGTGTTAAAGGCCAAAATTTTAGAGCCTTGTTACAAAGAATTGAACAAAGGTGAAGTTATCTAGAATGGTCTTTCAGCCTTCCTGGAAGGGATGATGCTTCCATGCATTAAATAAAATAACTGACCATAGCAAAAGCATTAATGGAACTTTGCAGAGGCAGTATTAAAAAAAGCTCTATTGTGTATTTTATAGATATATAAAATATATATATCATACTATAGCTACAGGTACCCTTAGTATTTTCATACTGCTATAATTAAGTAATTTTTTAAACACAAATTATTCAGCACTTTTGCCCTTGGATCCTAAGTACATCTTCTATTTTTGCTGTTGCTGAACTCAAAGCTAAGAATTGCTCTTAAAACTTCTCCACTGGCATTTCAGCAAACCTCAACTTTGCCACGACAAATTGAGGCTTAAGCTGGTTTGCCATTTGCTTTCCATTTCCAATAACATCAGTGGTATATCTCAAAAATAAAATGCAGAGAACCAACCAACAAAAAAAAAACCTTCAAATTCATCAGCAGTGCAATGGAACATGCAAAGAAGCTTAAGTCCTGGTGAGTGTTTGCGCTTATGATTTCAACTTGACTACTGAGGTCTTAGCCCTGTTTCTTACATGCAATACTGGGTGATTCCCTCCTGCTGGATGTTGTGAGCAGTTCTAGATCTCACTGATATTATTTGCACAGGGAACATATGAATGGCAATCTCTCCCAGATGAAGTTTTCAGGTAATTCACTAATAAATAACATTGGCAGGCTTATAGGCAGGGGAGGTTAAGTGGGTTGGTTTATAGTTAAAGCAAAACATTGGCAGCTCACAAATTAAAATTATAAACTGTGAAGCCCATCTTAAGTTAGTAATTATAAAGAAGTCTGCATCAGATGGAAGCTGTGATATTTCAAATAGAGTAGATGCATTGTATGTACTTGTTTAGATTTAGGGAACTGGAAACTGTGAGGGATTACAGTTTAAGTAGCATCATTGCCAGGTGAGGAAAAGACTTTTCACTCTGCTTGCAATACTGAAGTTTTAAGTCTAAGTTAAAGTAAACTTTCAGGTAACTTAAGATGCTCAATTTGAGACCTCTAAAAGTCTTATCCTTATGTTAATTGATTGGTAAAGTCAAACACATGGTCCTGATTTTAAAAAAAGAAAAAAACAAAACTAAAAAAGACAGTCCTGAGACTTTTGAGGGCCTGACATATATAGAAGCCATAGGTCAGAAAGAACAGTGCTTCTAGGGTTAGCTTATCTATGTCAGCTCGCTCTCTTACTATAGCTGTAGCTGCCAGTGCTGATATGGCGGTTAAAATTAAGTCTTATTATCTGACAGCAGTACAATCTTGATGATTAACACATACACTGGAGCTCCTTGTGGGGAAGTAGTTTTCTGCTGTAAAAAAATCATTAAAGGCTCTGACTCAGAAAAGCTCTTAAGAGTGCATATAGAATTAAACGTGTACTTATTTCGAGAGACTAACCCCATTCCAAAAGCAGGAGCAGTATGAAGGAGGTCTGCTTTTTTATAACAGCCATTAAGGCAACTTACAAGGACAATTTAAAGTGCTACTCAATTTTAAAATGAACAACAAAACAACAACGACAAAAACCAAAAAACTAGAACAGAACTATAGGTGAAAACACGATGCCAAAGCTGGTTAAGGACACTATTTTCTTATTCTGACTACTTTTTAGGAGGAAGAGCTCCCTTACCCCAGCTTCCTGTGAAACGATGCAGCATCAGGGAAACAAAAGCAAAAGGGAAAAGAGAAAACTCCACTAAGGTTAAAGTAAAACTTGAAAGGCCACAGTTAACTAGCGTGCAAGACTGGCATATTACTGTGCTGCTAGCAAGTAATATGAAAAGCGGTGACACAGTCAACTTTTCAGTCCTGTTTTGGCAAAAAATGAGTATTGCTGGGTAATATTTCCCCATAAGGGAATATGCATTTGCAGTTAGACAAAGAGCAGTATGAGATCATTCAGAGTTTGTATTAATTGCAAGCTGTATTTATTTAAAGACTAACTTCTTGCTTGCATGGTCCTTCCTCCTGACCAACTACAGAAGGGCCATCGCATTCTGACTCCTGGTTACAAAACTGAACTATTCAGTTTTGAATGAGAATGCCTGAAGTGGTCCAGAAGCAGGTTTGGTAGCTGGCATAAGACTGTTTTACATAATGTATTAAATACCTTGCAATATAAACACAAACCCTGAATGTAGCACTGATTCTTGGCCCTGTGATACTATCATGGTTATTCAAACAACCAAGTGCAAGTGAAGAGAAATTTTCTTTGTCAGGATAAGACTAAGAGTCATGCAGACACGTGGTTTTCTGAGATGGTAAAATATAAAAGATTTTCTTTAAAAATAAAAAGTGCCAAGCAAAAACAAAAGTTCCCTAGATTAGCATGTTGACAGCTTTACAGATTTTCATGCAGCCTCTATATACTGCTCCAATTACCCATTAACCTATTTCAACCTTCTTAATCCAATAATACTGAATTTAAAAGATCAGTAAGTGTAGCACAAATTATTTCGTTTGCTAGGTATCACTACAAATGTAACAGCACTTTGAAAGCTTTCTTCAAACTGGTATTTTTACACCTCTAAGAAAAAACATCTCAGTGTGAGAAAGGTTTTCCTAATATTTCCCATGAGAATTATTTTCCTCGTTTCATCTACTTTCCTTTACTTTAAAGCTTTGTGTCACCTTCTTCAGGCACTTGCAACCTACCAAATCTTACTATCTAGATATATTAGAAGCTTTTTTTTTTTTTTTTTTGAAGAGACCTGTAGAAAGGCACAGCCTCTGTTCCCATCTCTGACAATAATTTTACCTTGTTTTTAACAACTCCTGAGATATTTTACCTTCTCTGGGTATGCCCATTTGGTTTCTTATCTGGTGGCAGGTCAATGACAAGCACACACGACTGGGCATGTTCGAACCCCTCCTTGTTGCTAGGGGTCTTTGGGGAGCACTGAGTCTCCAGCATGAAGACCTAGAAAATGACAAATTACATAAAACAATTAGGTTTAGCATGTCTAATGGGTCCATGAAGGGCCTGGCAGCAGAATTTCATGAATTGTGAAAGATCTATGACAACTTTTTTTTTTTACAGTGATGAAAGGAAGCTACTACCTGTAAGTACCATGTATAGCAAAGACCTGCTTACACAGTTAGCCCATTCCTCCTCGAAAGGTTTGTTATTGGAAGGATGGTTTTCAGCCACAAGGAGACAATGGGCACCTAATCTGTAGTTACTTGGAAGGGAAGTAGGAAAACAACTCTCACTGCTGTAGCTTTGTTTCATAGCTTAGTTGATGTGTCAAATCCTCGCTGAGAAGAACTCAGGCAATGCCTCTGAGGGGTGTCTCTTAGAGAAGCCTAACTGCTCCATTTCTTACTTTATGAGCTTTGCCTCTCTAGAAATTTAGTTTTAAAACACTTTTTCTGTTCAAACAATATCTGCCACTGCCATGTTGTTTGTGATCACAAATCCCGAACATCTGAGACATCTCAGATTTTCAAGCAGCATCAGGATATGATTAAGGATATGATTAAGTCAGAAACTGACACCAAACATCTGTTGGCTCTTTTAATCCAGCTGCTTACCCATGCAGAAACTGCCATATAATGACTCAGGTCATTAAGTCCAGTTTGCTGTATTTTAAGGAACTTGTTTCATACGAACACTTTCTCAAAATGAACAACATTCACTGTAGACAAAAGAACCCTGAGAAGGTTTTCTGCCAGACTACTTAGTTGATTAGCAGTTAGTGATGATTTTTAAATCATTAGTTCAATGTCATTGTTACCTTCTAATTCTCAATAACTTTCTTCTCTCCAATCTATACCCATGTACTTATAGACACACAAAAAAATGTATACTGCTCTTCAAACTTTGATTTGAGGGGTTGAACAAACCCAGTTTTTCTAGTGTAATATCACGGTGTCTGTTCTAATTTATTTTTCTTGCTTTTTGAATTAATCACTATTTAACAAAATAGTCAGAAATGCATATGATGTTCTAGATGAGTATTCATTGTGATGCTATTTCCCTTTTTCTGTCAGAAAGGTTTCCACTGATTTATGTTAGTACTGCCTTTTTTAAAGCTATACTACATAACAGTAATCCTGATCAAATGCCTATGCGTCTACCCCCAGCCAAGCCACTTAGAGGGTAAGTTTTAATGTTTTTGTTTCTAGTTTTCATTACTTTTTCTCACTACTACTGTTAGATACATGATAACCTAGTGATGAAGAAGTCTCATTTGATTTGCTCATGGGGTTTGAGGACAGCTGTGCTAAAAATGTACTCAAAGAAAAGCCCCAAGTTGAAAGGCTTCTCCAACTTTCACTGAAATATCAGTCTCTACCTGTTGTGCCATGGCTCTGATTCTCCAGTATTCAGCCTCAGCACTCGGCGAGAGGGAGGGGGCTGCCACCTTCACTTCACAGGCGTCTCCACTAAAGCTTTCAGAACCACTGTGGAAATAGCCCAATAGGTTCTATAGAGAAACACAACATCAGACTTTCACTGTGCGTTAAATTAAATCAGTGATTGTAGAACTGTTGAATTTGTTCATCTTTAATACAAAATTCAGAGTGGGAGGGATCTCTCCCAGTTACTACCAATGGACCACCTGCTATTCAGTATTCAGTGTATGTGATGCAAATACAAACTTATATAGTAGTGAACTAAAGGGAATTTTTTTTGTCACATGGTGGTGATTTGAAAAATAATCTATATGGAGCATGCAGCAACTGGAACAAGTAAGCAACTTTTTTTTTCTGTCTACTTTTAACCAATTCAGAAGAACTGGAACAAAAGGTAAGGATCTTCTGCTATCTTGCTGGTGGGGCAATTTAAAGTTATTAATCACTGTTGTCTGTAACGTGCTTCAAAAAAAAAATCTGTCTCCATTGTTCATCCAATGCCTTTCACTGTGATTAAATAAACAAACAATGAAAACTAAAACATAATCTTATTTTCCAGCCTCTGTATCCAAAACCTTATGTATGTGTGTGTGTGCATGTGTGAGACAACTTGTCAAAAGTTAAAGTATAGATAGTTTTGACTGTCAGCAAAAAGGCATTTACCTTTACTGGCTCCAGAGTGGCAGAGAACGCATCCTGCAAGGCACAGCATGCAAGCCTCCACATCTCTTCAGTAAAAACAGGACCTGCTGTCACTAATACATACCTAAAAGTAGGCACACAGGAAAACATTACCATAAGAAATAACTGAACAGTTCTCAGCTGAAATGGGAGAAGGTGGAAAACTAAAGAAAAGGTCCTTTTAGTAGCTAGCTAATAATAATCAGTCTCCTAAGAATTAATAGTTGTTATCCTGACCCAATTTTTTGATATAACGCTGAATTTCTGACTGCTTTTCCTTCAGTTTTCCTCCTTAAACAATCATCTCTCCTGAAGAAGAACTATATGTTCTGTAAGTATATAATGGAGTGTTCATTTTGACTGTGATTGCAATAAGCTGAAGACTGTAAAGATATCCACTATGCTCAAAGACCTGTGAATTGCCACAGAAAGCCCTTTAATTATTTTTCCTAAGGATTAATTATCGACTAACTGTACATATGTATTGTGCAAATATTTTTACGGGAATGACAGACATAGCAATGTGCAAAACTACAGGTTCTAAAACAGACAGAAAACAGTTAAAAAAAAAAAAAAAAAAAGAGGCTGATAAGTCTAAAAGAGAGATATATTGCAGACTTCTGAGATGCTAGCCAACTTAGTCTGTCCACAAGTACTTTTCTCTTTTTTTTTAATATGCTAACAGATTGTTACCTGATACAAGAGCAGCCAACTCTGGAAATAATTTCTGTTGGTTCTGCTACACAGGCGACCAGCAACTTGAAAAGATCTTTTAGCATAGTATTGATCATATTTTCATAACCAATATCTGTAAGGAAAAGATACAAACTGGTTTTATTTAGCATCATTGCCTTTGCATTGCAATTAAAGACAGTCTTGACATGCTTACTGCAAATCAGAAACTTTGCAAAACCAATTCTTTTTATGTAGATATCAGTAGAGTTCATGTTTTGAAACATGCATCACATCCTATTGAAATGAGAACTGTCCTTTTGAGGTTAATGATTTAAAATGTGTAGACTTCAGTTATACTAGAGAAATTCTGTTAGCTTCTGTTTCTGAATGTTCCTTAAGATTGAAGTCTCATTGTCTTCTTTTGGAAATGAACACTGTGATTATTTAATTTTGAAGTTAGCCCTTGTCTGAGCAACAGCATGGACTGAATAACCTCCACAAGTCCCTTTTCAAGTTATATTTTTTCTATTTGTTAATAAAAAAGAAAACAAATTCTTAACCCTCCTCCTCTTGTTTTACACTTGAGCAACCAAAAAAGCAAAGAAATCACCTCCCCAGGTAGCTATTCAGTAACGTGCCATTAAACAACTATCAGGAGATTTGATAGTGTTAGGACATACCTGAGTGTATGAAGTTTTGAATGTGCTCCACTACGAGTTCACAAGAAAGGCCAATGGCATGCTTGAAATTAGCAGATGCCACATCCCAGTAAGAATGGTCACCATGGCTGCGATGGAGCCAAAGGGACATCGTAGGAAGAAGAAGATGTACAACCGCGAAAATGCCAAATCCTGGGCCTTAAAATAAACACAATGATGGTTGCATATTTTTGCTTACACAGCCTACATTCAAGATACGTTTCTTAATTCATTCCAAGCTTGAAGCCAGGGGTGATTCTAGAGAAGGCAGTTTCTGAAACTCTTTTTTATGGGTTAAGAGAAGGGTGCAGTTGTAGATTTCATTATGAGATTAGTTTTAGTTCTGAGTACATGAATGTTTACTCAACTGTGAATCTCCTGTGCTGCTCAGGAGACCTACAGGACTGTATAATTTTATGAGTTTCCATCACTTGCAAATGTTTTCTGTAGCCAGGACACTGACAGAATACTGCACCTCTTAATTTGTGTATGCAGGACTTAAACGTACTCCTACAACATGCCTTCTGTCACCACAGAACAATAGGTTAACTAACTGGAACCACAAATCCCATTCTGAGAAAATTTCATTGTATTTGAGCATGTCTGTGCAGCAGACGAAGAATATCACAGTTTATAGAGGTGGGTTAGTATTCTACAAGGGACAGGCCAGGGCTCCAGTAGCTCAGAGTTTATCCTTTAATTACCAGGTGTCTTGGCAACATCCCGCAGCAATTCAAAGAGCAGATCCAGAGTTGGAGGCTGGTGCTGGCGGGGACAGTTGGATATGGCAGTTGTTAATTCTTCCAGCAGAATAATCCAGACATTGATAAGGCCTACAAGTAAGAAAACAAACTTTAAAAAGCAGTGTGACACTGCACTGACCACAGGTGGAACTCAGAGAGTGATGGAAACTAAGCAATTAAATAACTTAAAATATTGTAAGTACTTTCTCATTTCACTGCTGTGGTATAATTGCAGAGGGCAATATCAGTTTTTGAAAAGATTGTCTCCTTTTCTTTCCCTTTAATTTAGTTTCATGTTTTGTCCCACTCTTCCTCCTCTACATACCTTTTTCTCGTCTAAGTTTGCCATTCCCACTAGTCCAATTGCTGTTTTATTTTTTTTTAAAGTTATTTTCAAGTCTTGAGTGACAAGTTAGCCAATTGAATCTTCTAGTTCTTTCTTAAAAAGCATAAAAAATGTTAAGTCCAGTAATGAAATGAATGTCCTCTGAATTGTTTTACAAAAGATGCAGATATGGTACATGTCCAAAGAAATGGACATTTAGAAGGGCTGAGCCCTTCTAAAGGTTTTGAATTGCCCCTACAAAAAGATTCAACTAGACTAGATGTGTTTTATTTGCACTTTGAAATTTCAACTGGAAAAATTAAAACCATAAGAATGCACAGGAAATCCTGCAAGCAGTAGAGTTGTATGTGAGATACATAACACTAAGGGATCTCACTAGTACCGCAAATCTGCCCAGAACGGTTTGTACCTGTTTTGTACAGAATTATTTAATTATCTTTCTAAGTGAGGAAATAGCACAACTCACTCAGCACTAAGTCTGGCTATCTTCAAATCTGGAAGAGCTAAAAACATTCTCTGTTAGCAACTTATTGAATAATTTGGCATGGAATAAAAGACACTATGAAAATACACTGCACTACCCTAAGGCAAAGTAGGCTAAAACATTCTGCAAGATCTTGGAACTGACTTTTCATAGAATCACAGAATCACCAAGGTTGGATAACACCTCCAAGACCATCCAAACCAACCATCCACCTGCCACCAATACTTCCCCACTAAACCACATTCTTTAGTACAGCATCTACATGTTTCTTAAACAGCTCCAGGGATGGTGGCTGAACCACCTCTGTTATCAGCCTCTTCCAGTACCTGACCACTCTTTTGGAGAAGAAATTTTTCCTAACAACCAACCTGAATCCCCCTGTTGCAACTTGAAGCCATTCTCTTCAGTCCTATCATTAGTTATATAAAATAATCCTTTCAAAGACTTGAAGAGAGCTGTAAAGTCTCCCCTTCTCTTTTCCAGACTAAACGATTATAGTCTCCTCAGGTGCTCCTCATAGGGCTTGTGCTCCAGACCTTTCACCAGCTTTGCTGCCATTCTCTGAACACCTTCCAGAGCCTTGATGGACATCTTTCTTGAAGAAAAAGGCCCAAAACTGAACAAACTACTCAAGGTGTGGCCTCACCAGTGCTGAGTACAGAGGGATGATCACTCGCTCCTACTGGCAGCACTTCTGATACAATCCAGGATGCCACTGGCCTTCTTTGGCTACCTGGGAATACTGCTGGCTCATGTTTAGCTGAGCATCAACCAATACCCCCAGGTCCATACTTCTTCCACATAGTCTTCTAGCCATCCATTCTGACCCAAGCCTGTAGCGTTGACTGGAGTTGTTGTGGTAAAAGTGCAGGACTCATCATTTTGTCTTGTTAAACTTAATCACATTATTTTTAGCCCAGCTATCCAGCCTGTCCAGATCCCTCAGAGGAGCCCTCCTACTCCCTGGCAGAACACCACTTTCTCCCAGCTTGCTGTTGTGTGCCAGCTTACTGAGGGTGCACTCTATCCCCTTGTCCAGGTCACCAATAAAGATATGGAACAGGACAAGCCCCGTTACCAATCCTTGGGGAACATCACTCATGATGGGTGGCAAGCTGGATTTAACTCTATTCACCACCACTTTCTAGGCCTTACCCTCCAGCCAGTTCTTCACCCAGCAAAGAGTGTCCAAGCCATAGGCTGCCAGCTTATCTAGAATACTCTGGGAGACAGTGTCAAAGACTTTTCTGAAGTCTAGGTAGATGATGTCAACAGCCCTTTTCTCAGGGACCCCAGTGCCCAGTGAGGCACTGCCTTCTGTTTTTGTAAACTCGGTTTACTTAGTATTGTTCTAATACATTACCAGCTTCTGCTTCAGAGGGCCAGCGTGGATTCAGAAGCACTATGTCTGCGTTTCTCTATTGCTTGGCTCCATGCACATCTAGTTCCGGTGTTCTTCAAACACCTGATTAATCCACAACCCACAAAAGCAACACGGATAACTAGGAGAATAATGTTCGTCATTTTTCTGGAGGTCACAGCACTTCCTACTGATTTTAGTTCATTTGGTTCAACAGACCATGGCACTTAAGTCTGGAAACATATTTAAGTAAGTATTCTTTATCTTTGTAAACTTCAACTCAACACTGACAGTTTTTCTGTGAAAGGAAGGGCTGTCAGCATCAACCTCAAAAGGTTTTCATTCCTTAACAGTAGCTGTGGTTCCAGAAAGTACTTTTGTGTTTGCTCTCAGACATATGTCTGTATTCGCTGTATTATAACATGTTAAGTACCCTGATATTTATTCATTTTATTACAATATTATTGCCTTCTCCCATGACACTGGTTGCATTTTTCTCATACATGAGTTGTAGCTTTTAACATACAGAAATTGACAGGATCTGAACTCTGAGTTGTATGTGCATACAGACAACAGACACAATAAACTCCGTGAAGTTTTTCCCCTCCTTTTTGCTTTCAGCAGTTGGCAAAATTTACAGTGACATGTAAAAGAAAAAATTGATTAATCCTACATTTCCAGCTTTCAATGCACTTACCAGTGTCATCATCAAAGTCAGAAAGGATGCACTCAATGCCATCCTCACTGCTGGCTGACTGCTCCTGCACTCTTCGGGGCATATTAACCAGCCGGCCACTGAGGAAAATAGGTTTCAAGGGCATTTTGTAGATTTTGGCTAACAACTAAAAAAAAAAAAAAAAAAAAAGAGAGAGAAAAAAAATACATAAGAGAAACGTCACTACTTTTAGCTCTGTTTTATAGTAACTGTGCAAATAAGAATTTATGTCACTCTGGATGTGCTACTGTTAGGTTTTGAATGTTTTTTTTCCCCACATGCCCTTCAGTTCTGAGTGCTGTCACCTCCTCAGTTTTCCTGCTGTTAGCTGGCTCAGAACTCACGAGGATCCTTCAGATTGCCAGTCTCCATCTGGCAGTGCAGCCTCTTACCAACAGCTCTGTAGCAAATTCTATTGTATTCATGCATATTACCTAACCAGTGATGCAAAGCCTTGAGAACAGGACTGTCTCCTAGGCCATGTTAGTACCTGTGCAAGATTGTTCACTGTACCTGAGAACATCTCCTGAGGTAATCAAGCGCGGGAAGGCACAAGTCTGTAGATGCTGATCCTGATCCTGGCACACAGTCACCCATCTCCTTACAATCTACTTCCCCTGGGGATGGAAAAGGCAGCAGTGGGAGGGACAGAAGAGAAACAAACAGGATTAGCTTTGTTTTTCATGCAGTTGAATTCCACTGTCTGAATAGAATGCAGAAATCATTCTTTGTCTGATCTTATTAGATGACAACTGAATGATTCTCATATCTTGCTTTTTGATGTGTAACCACAAATGGGACAAACTTATCTCATGAAACTAAGAAACCTAGAAGAAATATGACAACATTTCTACACAAGGGATGCAAGTTCTCCTTGCTGTACTGGACGAGCAAGTTTATTTCTCTTTTGTAATAATGATTACGATTCCAGTCCATCATCATGAACTGAATTCTGTCCCCCATTGATATAAATGGTGAAATAACTTAACAGGAAAGGAATAATTGCAATTAGGTACTTCCAAACCTTACTATCCCTGTGGATCCTTTGGCCTAAGTTGTATTCATATGTATAAAGAAAAAAAACAGTTCACCTTTACTGTTTACTAGAAATTTTGCAATTTACATATGGGAAAAATATACCAATTTTACATTTCAATGAAAACTGTTTAACTGCAACAATCAAGGCAAGCAAAAGAACTTGTGGGTTGAATGACCCAGCAGCACCCTCCTCTACTCTGAAGTTTGGTGAAACACCAAGATTACACTGAGACTTGACACACCTTGTCTCTGCTGTCCTCAGTAATGCAACAGAAAAATTAATGCTTATGATCTCAATCAAGGTTCAGCAGGTTTTCAGCACTGCATATGCAAAACACTGCTGAGGTGGGAAAGGGTGCAAAGAAGCCATGTAGCTTTGACCTCTAAATATAAGACATACCATCTGTTACAAACAATCTGTGCTGTCACTGCACAGTGCCAGGGTCTTATCTCCATTATTGTGTTCTTTTATTTTTTTTTTAAACTGAACTTACGCAAGTCCTGATGTAAATAAGATCAAGTGACGAAACCATTTAAAAGAGAGAGATGTATTTTTGCTTCTATTATAACTCATACCCTTGATAGCATTCAAAATGTTTCCGAAGTTCTCTTTCGATCATTTTGGACTTTATTCTTGAGAAACTGAGACACTGCCTCTCTTTTCCCTACAGTACTCTGTATTACAAAGCAGGATTCTCATCTTTGGCAGAATCAAGTTTGACATAGCGTAAGTTAATAAAAGATAAGGAAAATAAAAGCATTTACCCAGTCCTTTCACAAACTTCATAAGGCACATAATATAACTGGTGGCGGCATTGGCAAAGACCTGGATGCTGTCAGTGTTTAGGAATGCTTCAAAGACATCAAACACTGGGGCCTGGCGTTTCCCTGTGGAAATTACAAGATGAGGACTTTTTCCCATCCCCCATAAAGATGAATTCCCAACAGTTCCTAAACAATTTAGCTGGATCTGTAAAATCAATTCTGTTCCGGGAAGAGACAGAAATGCCCCAGTCATCTTAGAAGTAAAAACTAACATGCTTTTTCCTCTTTTGCTCCCAAGGCAACTTGCGTAACCCTACATTGAAAGTAATGCTGACTCCTTTCTTCACAACATCTATAAAAAATATCTGCTTACCAGTGCCCACATGGTAAGAGCAGGTACATGCAATCAGCAGTTGTGTAACATTTTTGTTTGGTGGAGCCTTAGTCCTAACTGTCAAGACGACACAGCAGTTACACTGAAAACTATTCTGACTCTTCTGATGATACAGTGACAAAATAGCTTTGTTTTTCTTAAGTAATTAATCAGTCTACAAAAGCTGTATAAACTTGCATTTTGCTATGACAATAACAGATCTGAAAGACAAAATTTCGGATGCAAACCATACCCCTCATGCATGGCTTGTAACATTTATTAACCTGTAAATGTGTCAAAAGGACAGATTAAAATTATTTGTCCTAACTACCCAGCTTCCATACTTGCAATGATGTCTGAGAGAGACGTAGGATCAATTGTAAAGCAAATGATTTGTAACAGCACTAGTAATTAGAATCCCTGTGATCGAGTGCTTGGACAAGTACCTACCTGGAGTATCACACCAACTGACATTGATGTTTAAGAGCAGGAGGTTTCACATGGCAAGAAAGACGGTTGACAAGAGAGGCAGTGACTGAATGCAGTCACTACAGCAGGGCAGTGACAAGAACTCAACTATGCTCAGCACTCACACACTGTCTTTTTGCTCAAAAATATTCAAGTAGGTTTGAAGCATTTTTTTCTTATTATACTCATCTGCCAGAACTGAAAGGATAGAAATGGAATTATCTCTGCTTTTACTCCCAACCTAATAAATCAGATACGTTAGTACAGTCTTAGAGTATAACAGTGCCTTTGTGAGCTATACTGTTTCAGAGTATCTATTCAGGTCAGGCATTTAAAATGTACTGAGTTATTTCTTGGGGCCTCAAGGAATTAGATTGCGAAACAGAAGAATACACAAAATAGTCAGTGCTGAAGACCTTACCCATAGAGTATTCTCCTACAAGGTACTCTTTAACCTCTGACTTATTGCCGCTGTGAACTGTTTCCAGGGCACTGAACAGGGGTCTCCATCCTGACTGGATCTGGGTAGAACACATTTCCACCAGCTCTCCTATGGAGGTGACCACCTGCAAACAGTGTAGGAAAGGCTCAAAGAATAAAACCAGAACTGATACAAAGCTGGACCTGCAGAAGGAATGAGGAAGGTTTTAAACACGTTTCTAGATATACTCTTTTATCTGGATTTCAAAATCTAGACTTTTTTTTTGTTAGATAATTTAATTAAATCACTTTAAAGCCAGATGTACTTCTACTAAACAGCTAGTCTAAGCAATAAACAGGTAAGTAGTCAGGGGCAGAGTTCTGAAAACAGAGCTTCTGCATTGTGTAACATTATTCTCCAAAGGTACTGTTATAATGCCTGGTGTGCTAGAATCTTGGGAAATATAACAATAATTTGGTAGGTTCAAGCATCACATTTGGGTCTGCTCCTGAAGGAAGACCTGACTGTGGAATAGGGCCACACATATATCATTCACAACTGCTTTACAGAAGAAAAATAGTAAGCTACACTGAACAGCAACATGTCAAGGCTCTTTTGAAGTACAGAAAGATATCTGTATGCTACCATAATGCTGATTTAGGTAGGCAGGGCCCTCCTGAATTCCTGAAGATAATTGAGGGACACCATTTGAAGGGCATTTGGGAAATATTCAAGTGGATCAAGTGCACTCTGCTGACCATCCTTCTTATGGGCCTTCTTATGGTAGGTCAGATACAGGCACCCTAGTCAGGGCCGACTTGCCTGGTCTTGCACATCCTCATCACACAGCTCCAGCTGCATGATACGCTCAAAGGGGCGGAAAAGTGACTCATTAAAATGAAAATGAGAAGGTTCATTCCAGTCTGTCAGCACTTCGGTAAGGATGTCATGGATGAAAGAGACAGCCTTCCGAGACACATGCCTCTCCCTGTGACAGGCAGCCTGCAGGGAGAGGAAGAGTATAAGACTTCACCCAAACACAAAAGCACTTCATGATGCCAAACCCTAATGAGAGCTTCATCATGACTAGAGAGCCCATTTGCCAAGAAAATGGGAAAGTACTGCTATGGAAATGGGTGATTGAGACTATGAGCTGCTTGGGGTCTCACAGATGCCTAAAGATTTAATGAAAATTGAAGGAGCAGACAGCTAAAAATAAATTAAATAATAAACCCCACAGAACAGATCTCATGTCAAGTACTACCTTTTGTTGCTACCAGGTGACAATTTTTCCCTTTTAAAAGTTTTTATGTATATACATCATATTTGATAAAAAGTGGCATTTGGTCATGCTTATATTTGGCCACTTATGGAACTTAAAAGTGAAGAGAACAGATCAAATAGGACACAATGTTAAGGGCTGTTACATATTACAAGAAGACCATTATGCCTTCTTCAGCTTTTTCAGCTTTGCCATCCCTTGCACACATTCCCATCTTCTCCCCAATCCTACCTCCACCAGGTGAGGTGCCACCAGGCTCCAGCAGCGCATGAGGTGGAGCAGTGGGCGGGATTTACTCCTCACAATTCTGAGCATGGCATCACCAAGTCGGAACAAGTGAAGTGCACTTCTCCTGTCCTGGGTGGATTTTACTTCTCCTACAAGGGAGTAAAACAAAATAAACAGAAGCGTAAACAAAAAGCTGCTCCTTCATCTCTGGATGTCTAAAGAGAAATGTAAATCAGGTTCAAAATTTATAATGCTCAGCCAGAAAGAAATCAGTGTAAAACACAGCTTATACCTGGGTAGGTAAAAGAGCAGGAGATAGACCCAAGCTTTGTGAACAATGCAATAAAAACATCTCATTTTCCTTTGAGGAAAGATTTTTTGGGAACGTTTTTAAAACATAACGACTTGGAAAATAATGCATTATAATTCAATTATGATATCCAGTATGGATAAAAGCAGACAAGTTAAGCAAGGAGGTAAACAATTGCTACTGAGAGCCAAATAGTAGTTGTGAAGACCTCTGGTGACATCTACAGGAAAGAATATAGACTGCAGATTATTTTGTGTTGCTTTGTCTTTTGTACTTACTACCACACAATTGGTGAGAAGCAGAGAATTTGAGAAAAGTATCATGTGTTCTACAGCCACTAATACTTTTACTTCCTACTGAAAACAATTCATCTTCCTTTCCTCTTGTAATATTTGAAAATACACTTCATTGTCTCATTAGAATATGCTAGTTTAAAATATGTATATGCCACTTTCAGTGTAAAAATATATATCCAATTAATTGCCCTACCTTAATGTGGATATCATTATTACTACTACTGTTGACTTACTGCTACACATAATGCCATACCTTTTTTTACTTAAAAAAAAAAAAAAAAAAAAAAAAAAAAAAAAGCAATTGGAGACAAGGAGGAACCAAAAAAGAATGACTAATTTTTATACTGAGATAATGCTAAGTAACACCCCAGGGAAAGGAGAAACCAATTAAGTTTTCATGTCTGCTACAGGACACACAACTTTCTACAGGTTTTGTACTGTAAGGTATATGCTTCACTTTGCTGGGGAAGAGTAAGCAGACAACTTCCACTGCTGAATTTTTCATTTCTCAATTGCATGCTTCATTTGTTATCACTCATTTTACGAACACTTCTAAGCAAATGTCCTTTGAAGCGTCTCACAGCAGGGGTAGATGTGGTCCTTGTCTAAAAAAAGTTCTTTGTCTTTTCTAAAGATTTTGCAGTACTCCCTACAGAAAGATCTTATTAGAATAAATACTGTTTTCTTTATACCCTGAAATTTAAGTGGAAAAATTAAAACCTTAAGAAAATGTTGCAAAGTACTAAAAGGTAGTACAAAGCTAATTTTGCAAGCCATACAGCTGTATGTGAGACAAAGAAGTCTGTGTTTGCTTTGTTTTGTTTTTTTTTTTCTACCTGGCATTGCTAGGGAGTAATCAACTGTATCTGTGACAGAATGGAAAAGTTGGGCCTGAGAAGCCTTCTTGAGCTGGTAAAGGAAGCCTGCCAGTGCCATCAAATTTAACTTATCAGCAGCATCTTCAAAGAGCCTGTGAATAGAAGAATAGAAATCAACTGAAAAATTAATGATATGGAGATTTAAATGTATTTGCAAGAGGAAAACCTTTAAATGTACATAACTGCTGTGTGTTGCCTCTGGCAACACACACAGCAAGACCTTGATCCAGAAATATTATCAATTGGAGAGTGGTAGAGCGTTGTAGGACCAAACAGAACCCTTCCAAGATACAAATGCAGCACTATGACAAAAAAGCACTTTTCCAAGGAATCACCACTGCCCCTTAAGTGGATCTTAACTGCATAGACAGTTCATAAACAATAATTACAAAAACTAATATGCTCAGCTCTCCCAACTTACATCATCAGAGCTTCACTGATCTTAGCAGTTTGCTCCATCTGTAAAGCCCCTTAACATGACAAAGAATTGAATTTAAGTCTTAGATCTAAAGCTGCTATATCTGAATTGCTATGCAGGAATATAAACAAGAGCCATTATTTTCAACTGCAATGAGCTCTTAAGATTTAAGAGATAAACCTGTACCCTTAAAATTTTGCACAGATTCAAGGCAAGTTTCCACCACAAAGAAATTACACATGGTACAGCCAGAAGTTAACACAATCATGATTCCCTGATTCTGCTTTCCATGAAAAACTTTCTGTTGTTCTGACAGTAGGAACTGCTTCCGTCCCTTCCTGTCAAGGCATGACACCTATTCTTTTTCTTGGTCTGCTTTAATGAGCAAACAAAATAGGTTAACTTACATGCAAGCAATAGAACTACCACTCCTAGGATGCATGTGATTTACTGGCAGATTCAGACACACCCATCCCAGCGCTTCCAAAAAGCAGGGCAAGTACAGCAAAGGTGCAGAAAACCAAGTCTTTTAAGAGCTGCTGGCTGTGATACGTAGCTCCCCTGTAAAACTCAACTGAAGCAAGTGGCTGCAATAGACATAAGGATCAGGGCCCACTGCATCACAGAAAGGTCTATGTTGGTCTTGTTTTAGGAGCAGAGAATCTAGTGACACTTTTACCTATCTGCTTGTGTGGAGAGTGTGAGAACAGCCTTGGCAGCACTGGTCCCACACAGCAAGCTGCCTCCACGGAAGTCGAAAGCTCTGCCCTTACTGCTCTCCTTGACAAGTTCCTGGATGGAAACTGGCTGAATGACAGGATTACTGCTGAGGGTGGTCTCCTGCTCAGGGGTCTGTTCCTGAGGAGTCTCTCCCAGCTCAGTGTCTGAATGTGGGCCTCCAGGTGCCTGCTGTGACTGGGTGATGGTAAGGCAGGGCTGGGAGGTGCCATCACTGAAATGGGTGTGCTCCAGAGTGCTGATGTACTCACACACCCTGAGAACAGAAGGAAAAGAAGGATTAAAGCCACAGAACAACAGCTCTTGTGTCCCTAAATCAGAGGACTCACTGAAGAAATCCCTGAGTCTCTACTCAAGTCAGAAGCATGCTGTAAGCAAAACTCTCAGACACATCACAGATAGTGTGTCATCTTACATCCCTTGGCCTTCCATGTCCTCATATAGCAAACAGCCTATCTGAGGAACTTGAATGGCCATTTAGGTTTCAGGATCTGACACAGTCTTCTGACAACACTGAAGTTTCTAAGCACTGATTTAGTCTCCAAACAGATGTGGAAAGAAGTGATTTTTCTCTTACAGATATTTAATTCAATTTAATTACAGTTAATTCACTCTGTTACTGGCTATGAAGAAGACTCCCAGAGTATGTAAAGTCCTTTTTCTCAGACTGGTACTTCATGGCAAGACATTGAAAATTATGTTTCTTTTGGGAAAGCGGCTAAGTACCTGAACACATGAGGCCAGCAGTCTTGATTGTGGCTTCCCATCTCCAGACCCACATTTAGGACTGCATCCATACACAAAACATGAGCAGTGTGTAGGCAGACACCCTGCACTTTCCCCATCTGCTCCAGTTTCTGCTCCACTTTCTGTTTCACTGCAGCACAAAAAACCAAAAAGAACATTGCCATCTCCAGCTTTTAAACAAACATTTGCTTCTTCTTATGGTGGTAATAAAGGTATACAGCCTGAAAGCTACAAAAGAAGTTTGAATTTAGATAAAAAACAAACTACAGAATCTCATTTTTTCCACATAAACATAAGGCAGTTTTAAAATGAAAATCCCTGTGGACTGATTTTATGAAAAATCAGTCTGAGATTGACACCCTCTAGCCTCAAATTCACATCTTATTGCCCACAGAACATATGTAGCATTGCCAGCAATAGTACATGTTCCTATTCTGTGCTGGCTGGATTTTTATTTATTTATTTGTTACTAAAATCTCTTTTGCAATAGAAAAAAGGGTTTGTGGATTACACCTCATTTCCATATAAAAGTCCCAACAAAGAGCATTTGCTAATGGCCTCTGGCCACTACTACTACCTCTTTTTTGCTTCTATGCAGGCTGGCCAACTCAATTCAGTTATATCGAGCAGAGCGCTCAAAAGATAGCTTACCCTCAGACCTCAGGTTTGTTTTCTCTACTAAGACACTGAAATCAGTGCCAAGTAGGGTCATCAGTGCAAATGTATACTTTGTTATGGGTTTCTTGCCATTAGAAATCAGATGTTACCTGATCTCCAACCAGCCATAAAAGACATTATTGACTTTCACTGTGTGAGGAACTTCTGCACAGGGGTGCAAAACATTTTAGCTGGTATACCTTTTCTTTAACTTCTTTAATTTAATTTCTTTAATCGTTAACTTCCTTGAACATGATTCAAGACAAGTCAGGTTCAGTTTATGTTCTCACACAACACAGCAACAAAATACTGTTTTTCTGATGCCCTCTCATTGTAAAAGTGTCACAAAACTTGGGAAGTGCACATTAAAAAAAACAACAAAAAGCAGTTAACCTTACTTGCTGTTTAGCTGATTTCAGTTCTATATAAATTACAATTAACATGACATATTGTTAAGAACCTACCACAGCAAGACATATATTGAAACCTCTAGACTTACTTGCCCTATGCCTATAAAAAAATAATCCCCCTCTGTCGTTCTTTTGTGTATAGCAAAGCACCTTCCATCTGCATCTCTGCAAACAATATGAGATAAGGTAGATCATTCAATCACATTGTCACCTTGAGCTATAGCATCACTGGGCTCTTGGATTTCTTTTTCCTCTTTCTCTTCTTGGACACAGGACGCAGCAGCCATTTGGGCAAGAGCAGATGCACAGTTAGCAGCAACTCCTGTAAACAAACAGCAGAATGTTTAACTAGCTTTTCCTCCTTAACCTCAAGCAATCTGAATGACAGGTTGAGTCAAGTAAATGGATGTATATGTCTATGTTGTAGGTAAGGTGAGTTCTATGAGAAGTTCTACAGGTTCCTTGAACATCCCAGACTAGAAAAGAATACTGCTTTCTCTTCCAAATTCACGTAGGGAAAGTTATAGTCCCATTTTGTGAGTGTGCCACGGCAACATAAAACACAGCAGTACCTAGGGCACAGCTCAGGCGGGCTGCCCTCCTCAATCCATCCAGACTCAAACATATGGAGTCCTTCTCCTTTTGGTTCTGCTCTTTGGCTCCTTCTGCTCCCAAGATGAATGCCAGCCCCTTGGAGCTGCCTGCCATGCGACCAGTCAGCGGTGTGGACAAAGTGTCAATCAAGTTCTTCCAACAGCCAATTAAGAGGTATCGGGCAAAAGCAACTCCTGGAGTGAGAAATGCATTACTATCACTACTGGAAAATGACATAACAGCATCTCTATTATCAACAGTTAAAAAATGCAAAAAAAGAAGTCATAAATGTCCCCTGCATGCTGGACTTCATATGGTGGTAATAAAGGTATACAGCCTGAAAGCTAGAAAAGAAGCTCATATGCAGGATACACTGACACACTTCCTTCAAATCTTAAACTGCTGTTCTTAAACCCAAGTGTGTTTACGGTATAGAACAATTCACCATTGGTAGATACACTTGTGCTTACAATATATTCTCAATACCTGCAACAACAGAATCATCTGTCTTCTGATTCTGGGAAAGAGGAGACTGAGCTGAAGCAGATGCCATCAACTGGCCACCAACCATACTGCTTCCCAAGCCATCGATGTCTGACAGAATATCAAAGAGAACAACAGATTACTTACTATTCAACAAACAGATGGCAAAAAGAAAGTATCTCTTACTGGATCCACGTTCAAGCAGGTTTTGGTGTCCCTGATTTCTCATGTATGCTTTTTAGATTCTATTTTCTGGCAGCCTGGTGAAGCCTTGGTATAAACATAAGTTGTGGCACTTTATATTCTTTGCCTGGTATCACCAGCTTTTTCTTATAGAGTGGAAATACCCTTACTCCCAAGAGCTCCCTGAAATTACACAGTCAGTGGAAATTCTGGTAAAGATCACATGGTATTTCTTATTGTTTTGGACCTTCTGCACACCTATGCACAATCTCTGCATTTCTGAGTATTTCCTTTAAAATCTTGCTAAATCCTGTAACCATGTGTTCCCATATCTCACAGTCCCCCCGACACACTGGGATCCTATTTTCTAAATGGAATTGTTAGTGCATTAGACCTACATGGGTTCAATGTCAACATTTACTCCAACACAAGACTAATTTGCAACGCAGAGTTTAATATTAAGGACACTGGCCTGACTTGCTTCCTAGAAGCCCGTCTGTCTCTTTTTCACATAGCTATTATTTTTCCAAAAGTGTTTGTTTCAGCTTCCCAACTGACCGCTCATCATACAATATTTAAAGGAAACGCTGGTCTCAACACAGTCAGCAACAACCTCTCAGAACATTGCTCTCTGATTACCAGTTAATGGCTCAGCAGAAGCAGTGTTCTCCATACATACACTGTTCTAATTACTTCTTTGCAATCATACAGTACGTGCATTCAGAAAGACAGTGTATTTTATACCACTGTAGTATCATAGGCACCCTGTTGCCTTTCAGCAGATCATATAAGATATTTTTTTCTCTCAAATGAAGCTAAGGATTGTTTTTCATTACTTGTTAGAGATGCTCTGGGTTTTCAGCTTCTCACTACTGCCATTTGGCATATCCCTAGCATAGCACAAATCTGAACCGAAGGGGAAAATTCTGTGGAAAGCTTCCAAGACCAGAATCCACTCTTTATATTTGTTTGTACCAAAGGCATACAGAAATGGCTTTGCTATGACATCAAGAAAACAGCAGACTTACCACTCATCATTAAAAGGTACCAAACCTGCTGTAACTGAAGCTGAGAGAACTAAAATACGCTCTGGTTCAGTATACAAATCAACCTTTCCCGTCCCCACCATACTGTCAAACATTCTTCTGTATTCATTTGGCCAGAATATGCAGAACTCTCCTTTATGCATACACTTAAATGTATCCCCAGACAGATTTTAAAAATTTCAACACAGTGGTGCTACTAAAGTCATCCTATGGAAAGAGAAAACTGCATATCACATCTTCATGTTGTGTAAACTGAAGAAGTTCAGAGAAATTCAGTGAGTGACCTAGCCTACAACTGACTGGAGAGCCTAGCAGCTGTGTGATTCAGGTATATTCATTATATACAACAGGGTCCAGATTACAAGTAATTTAAATAAACATAATATATTTTCTAAAGGTAACCAAAATTCACATGATTTTACACATAAGTTATTAGGAATACCAGTAGGATACTGGGTCCAGTAGCATTTAAAGAAGTGCATTTCTTCCTTACAACTCCTGAAGTCTATCAGTATCTCCTGAAACAAAAGGCAGCCACCTTTCAGAGAAAATAAAAGTGCCTTTTTAAAAATTTTTTATTTTTTAATTCCATATCCTCATCATTTATCTTAATTAGCAAGCATTCCTCTAGAGGCAATAAGGAGGAGTCTCTGTTCATCTGGATCTTGATAATAACTGTGCCTTTGGGACATTGCCACCACACAGATGATAACCCACAAGTTGAGCAAACAAGTCATTCCAGTCTAATTACCTTTGGGGCACATTGACCACAGAGATTCAAGACTACTATGAAGTTTCAGTGGATTTATTTGTTTTCAAACCCAGAGTTTAAAGTTTCCTGTCTGACCCAGAGCAAGCACTTAGGTATTTGCCACCACTGAGTGGTGCACATTAGTGAAACATCACTCACTGCCTGATTACACAGTATGTATTGGACCAAAGCAGAGTGTTATTGTAGCTTGTTTTAGACACAATTGGAAGTTAGTTCCTGCCATCATAACATTGTACTAACCAGTCAGCATGGTAATAAGTGGAAGGCTGTGTTCTTCAGGGCTTCCCCAGTATCCAGCTTCCCCTAGCATGTTCCTTTCTAGTACCTGGTGGTACAGTTCTTCAACCCAGGCTTGGGAAAATATCATCAACACTCCACTGGACTGTACCTGCTTCATGAACTCTTTCTGCAGGCAACCACAAAAGCCAGAATTAAGACAACAGTAAGTTCTACAGCATGAGTTTCTAGCACTAGATCCATTCCTAAGCGTAAGGTGATGCAGAAGTAGAAATGAAGTTATACAAGACTAAGAACTAACAGAGAATTATAGCATGTCTCTATGGTGAAAACGACATGAACATAATTCTCGTTGGAGAATACACGAATAAAGAGCTTTCCCTTCTCTTACTGTAGATCATGCAAGACACAAATAATAATGACAGTTCTCATACAGCAAAGGCACAAGATGATCTCTTACCATTTTCACAGGGTGGGGATAGAACCTCAACTCCATTAAAAACAAATTTGTGGCACCTAATGCTGCTTGTCCAGCAGTCAGGCCCTTTTGCATTGAACAGCTGTCACAGACAAACTGGGGTTCAATTAAATACATCTGAACTATTTTCAGTAATACTTAGGTATTATAACCTAATTATCTTTCACTCAGACAACTGATGCCTTCATCAGTATAAATGCAAAGCTGGTATTAAGCAAGACATTTATTAATATGCTCAGAAGTATCTGCAAGATGAAGGCACACACCTTTACAGCAGGGACTAAAAATACTTAATATATGACACACTGGCAGTGAAGATTTGTTACAAAGATGCAGCATCCATCAAAATGACTGCTTCTTTAATGATAATTGGTAGGCAGCATTCATTCCTCCCTGAATTGCAGAGAAGCTGCGTAATTCAGATGCATGATGTTTATCATGCAAAATTTATAAGTAGTTTGCTTCATTTGCAATTATTATTTCTCCACTTAGCAAGTATCATGAAGGACACTTACATGTGGGCTGCTTTATGTGAAAGGAAATGAAACAATCTCTTTTCAAGCATTTTCTCTGTATTCACCAACTCACCAGCAACACGGGAGCTTGGGGAGGCTTCTTCCTGTAGTAATCTGAGTTGGCCAATTTCAGGTTTAGCAGCAGAGTATAATGAGAGACCATGTAGAGACTGTCTGCATTCATCAGAGTTTGGAAGCTGAAATTTGGGTTTCCTTCAAATCCTGGTGAGTGCATCGTACCTAACAAAAACACCATGTGAGCTCTCACATTTTACACAGATTTTGCCTGGAAAAAAAGATCAGAAACTAACCCTAGCATTCCAGCAGCAACAGATTGCTAGAATAGTTAATGAATCGTCAGCAGAAGTTGCTCTATTTAATGTACTAGGGAGTAGAGAACTAAACAGTCCATCCATAATGCAGTGCTGCAGCACACAAAAAAGTCCAGTCACAGTCCAGCAAAGAAATATGCTTAATTTGAAGTGCATAAGGAGCACCAGTATTCATTAGGATCTCTGCCAGGTACAAAGCAAAGGGCAGGATACATCTGCAGTGGTAACCAGAAAGGTGAGGTGGGTAGGGGCAGAGGCACAGCCTGTGTACTTACAGGAAATCGAGCATACTTGGCACAAATGGTGCTAATGAGAGATACAGACCAGTTAACATCCCAGTAAAGTTGTTCCAGCTAAATGAGTTGCTGGATGGGGACTGGAGTGCTTAGCACCTTGCAGGGTCAGGCTGTAATCAAAGAATGGCCTAGGCTGGAAGGGACCTTAAATCCTATCCAGTTCCAAACCCCCTGCCATGTGTAGGGTTGCCACCCACTAGATCAGGCTGTCAAGGCATCATTCTTTCCATGGCCTAGAGTCATGTGTACAGATATTTGGAGTCAAACTGGCTAGGACTTCACTACAACTCCAAGCCCTGTTTAGTCCATAATAACACCTGCTTTTTGGACAGCTGAGTACTTGCCAGTCCCATAAGCCATTATCTGTAAGCACTCAGTACTCCTGAAAACACTATCTGTATATAAGGTGTACCACTGGGCATGACTGTAGAGTGTAATCTCTTCTTCCTAGGTAGGATGGGCAGTACATACATTTTCCTCTGAGTTAGCTGGCCTACTGGTAGAAAATAACAAATCAAGTACAAGCAATACTTAATCAAATTCCTCTCAGCTATCATCTGAGCCATGAAAAAATCCAGAAATGTTTGACTCCCTCCCACCATGAACCACAAGATTTCACGGTTTTCACATCAAGTGTGAAAACCATATACCATTTCATATAACCATCTCATATAACATTGATTAGGGGAAATTAAGGAGTAAGTTTTCTCCTAGAGGAACATTTGTAATGAAACGAAAGAGAGAGCTTCCAAGGTTTGTTACATGAAGAAGCACAGCTGCATCGCTTAGTTAGCTGCTGAAGTGGTTGACTGTGAGCATATTCCTCCCACCACAAATCTCATGCCTGTTCTTAGACAAAATACAACAAATCATCAACATTAAAAAATTAAAAAAATAATAATAATTAAAAAAAAACCACACACAGAAAAAAAAGCAAACATTTTTCTTGCCTCGTGAGGGTTTGAAAGTTCTGTGCTGCTGCCTTCTCGGACTTTCCACTGACGTCACTTTGGGGGCGTGGATAAGGTGAATAACTGTTTGAGGGCGGATTTAGAGAGAGAGTAACTGTTCCAGGGTGGGTCTAAAAAATGAACAACTCTTTCAAGGGAGCAACCTTTGTGGAAGAGGGGTGACAGGGCTGGCCACACATTATACCAACACGGATTTCCACGTGTTTGTGGTAGGCTTCCTATGGTGAATGTTAACAAAGAATCTTTAGCTAGTCCCAAAATCACAACCCTGTGCTTAATAGCAGGCCTATAAGTAGCTTCAGTGACTCCATTACTAAAGTTAAAGATGGATCTTCACACTTTGCTGAATGCTGGATCTTGGTGTAGTTAGTACATACTGATTTAATATGTGGTATCTTACATAAGCACTTCTGGACCTAGAATAAGCTACAGTAATATCGACTCAATGTGAAGTGTTACATAAATGAAAATGTGGGCTAAACTGCTTGTAAAAGCACACTTGTGTATAGCTGCACATAAAAGAGGCTAGTAACAAATAGGGCATGTATTTGAGTGTTTGGAAAAAATCTGACCTCTAACTCCTTCTAAAATATCAGAAAACATCTAACTACATTTGACAGAAGCTCATCCTCTCAAAAGGCTGATAGATAAACAACTTGCACTGACGCTTAACAAAACAAAAACCTTGCCACTAAAAGCTGTGCAATCAAAATCTGGTGCTAAAATGCTTGCTATGATTATTAACACCATGGCACACAATTATTAGAATTAATTCCTTAAAACAGTAACTCATGAGAATAGTGATGTCTGAATTAAGATAATACTGATCATGAATTTTACTTATAAATATCTGCCAGCCATAGCAAACAGCAAGCTTAGTACATTGCCCTAAAACAGATAGGTCATTTAAATTGGCAAGGTCAAAGAGAGCCTACATAAAATGAAACATTTTGTTCAAGCCAAGACAATATTGACCATTTCTAGACAATTTAGTATTTTTTAGATAGACATCACACTCCAATGTCAGTAGGATCTTTTTAGCATTTATTCTATCTAGCAACAAGCAAGGGAGAGCCTTCTGAAGGAACATTATAACCAGCTTTTAACCAATTGACTTTCAAATCTTACTTTCCTTTAAATTCTGCCTAGCTTTCTTTGCCGATTCCATGCTTAAATTCCTATGTTAACACCTCAAATTCCTACATTCTTTCATTGTTTTCAGTCCCTACAAAAACAAAACAATGTTACAATGATATTTAAGGATCTAGCTGGTTGGAAAGCTCTATACTAACATATTTCACTGCTCCCTTGTGTAAGAAAAATTAATGACTGAACCAAAGCACGTAAATAAAGACTCAGAAACAAAATTACTATTTCTGCATGGGTTGGTCTCAGAACTGCATCCATCTCTTCTTCTCAACTTGAATCTTAACTGATATTCAAATTTCCTAATGTAGTCCTGAGGAATTATACATGAACAGATGCTATACATCCAAGGAGTCATATCAGTTCCTTTAACTTCATCACCTACTTTGTGCCTTGAATTTCTGGTGCTAATGAAGGAGTTCTGAAATTATAATTTAATATTCCCTTCAGATGCAGAATTGGTGCCTCAGAAGCTCTCTGGGAGAGAGTTGCCACCCATGGACACATTTTAAATAGGCCTTCAGACTCATGCCTCTCATCTATACGCATCCTCACCTCAGAAATATTGATGGACTTGTGTTTAAGATCAGAGGCACACATTAAAGAACTGTTTCAGTCCGATTGAGCCTCGTTCCAGATGTCCTACTGAAACATGAACTGCACAGACCTTGTGTACAAAAGTCAGGGGAATGCCCTATGAAATCACGAAGATCCATCACATCGTGAGGCTAGCTTTCTTAGAAATGTGAAGGCTCTTCCTCAACTCAACAGTCTAAGACCGGCTATCTTTCTAAGAGGAATGTACAAACCAGACAATATAAACTTAATGCAAAAATGGACTGTTATCCTTCTATCTTTTTCACTGTATTAGTCATACTGAATGACAACAAAAGTCATATTTAGCTTTAAAATCCGGAATTTGGCTAGGTATACCTCTTCCAACACTTCAGAACCTTCTACAGGGTAGAATCTGATAGACAAAAGGTTAGGAGAAAGATGTTGTATGCTCATCTACATATGAGCTTTCTAACCGTGGACTTATGCTACAATTTCATTATTTTACAGGAAAATGAATTCTTTGTGACAGGAAGAATGCTTTAAAGCACCTCAATTCAGAATAAAATCAACATCCTTTTAAAGACAACTCCTTTGTTACGAATGCCTTATTACTATCTTCCTGAATCAGGCTTAGTTGGGCAGCATTTAAACAGAAAATCAGTAATATCAGCTTATTTGTGTGGTGTTAACACATTCACCCAGCTTTATATTAAAATTCTAATGTATGACAGCAGAGGCATCCCTTCCGACTCTGTATGAGTAATATGTACGAGAGCACAAATGAATGAAGCAGTGGTTAGGAGAGAAGTGATGGAAAAGGCAATTGTGGTGAATTAAATTTAAGAAACAGAGAAATATATTTTCATGAACATTTCCACCTCTGCTACTGCCAGGAAAAAGAAAACTCTCTAACAATATATGCATATCTTAGTTACACTATCAACAGGACAGACTTGCCTTTACATAGTTTTTTTTGTTTGTTTGTTTGATTGACCAAGTCAAAATCCCAAATCTAACCCTGAGAGAAGAGTAAGCATTCTACCTCTTACAAGGTAAGATCTTTTAACTATTTTTCAGTTGGTCTGAACTTGAGCTCTCAATTTCCTGTCATGATAAATTGCAATATAAAAAAAGAGAGCGAGAAAGAGGAGTTGATCCTCTTTTCTTATCTTTTCAATAGCTTACTGTAGTGAGATTTCTATTATGTTCTCTGCAAGGCTTGGCATTATTAATAGTACTGAGGTAACCTATTAAGATACTTGAATCCCTTTCAAAACAGGTGACAGTTCTCCCCACATCCCTAGCTTTCATGCTAATGGGCAGCCTCTCCTTAACATCAGCACATGCAAATTTTCTCAACAGATCTTCACAAGCCTTTGAAGAGATATCGTACTACGGAAAAGTTGATCTTACTATTGACTGAGGACATAATCCAGAGTCTGTTAAGTGCTTGTGGACTAACCTGCATATTCAATTTGCCCCACTCTAAAGGAAATATGCTGTAGCAGAGGAATGTGCTTTGTAGAGCACAAACCTTTTTATTCTGGACACATTCTCTGAAGATGAACTCCTACAAGAGAATCTTACAGCGTGCATGTTGGTTGGACAGTAAATATTTGCTTGCAAACCTGAGCAAAAAGCTGAAGAGAAGTTCTGCAGTGCTGCATCCACCTCCTCTATGCTGGGTAGAGCTATGAGCCGAGGAAGAAGAGCTTCAAGTGATTGGATGAAGAGCTGTGCACTGTGCTGGTCTGCTTCCTGGTTTTTCAGCAACTTTAGAGAGAGAGCAGCAGTACGTAAGGACCTGGTACCTGGACAGTCTCGTGGTGTCTGCTCCTCATCAGCCAAGGAGCAATTGTCAGAGCCTATGTCTGAAACATCTGACCGGCCAGAATCCTTCTCTGCTGCCATGGAATACTGATCACATGAGTCAAACTCAGTCCTAGAAAGATCCTGATCATCTACACTGAAGTTACTTTCACTGTACCTGGATCCATAAGACCGGGTCTTGCAATCAACTGATAAGAAGTTAGTTATATCTGGATAGACTATGTTGTGGCTTCTCTGAACAACATCTGGCTGGTCAATGGTTTCTGACTCTGGTTCTCTATAATGAATCTCTTTGCTTTCATGTCCAGCTGGAGACGGCAGTGAGTTTTTTTGACTTTCCAGATTATCCTCTGGAGTTGTCTGTCCCATATCTCCTTCCAAAGTGGTCTGACCAGTGTCTGTGGTAACGCTAATGCTAATATCAGGACTTTTCTCATTTCCTGATTCCCAGGCAGGATTTTCTGAGGAAAGAATGCGCCTCTGCCACCTGAAGTCAGCATCATTGATCTCCATGGAGTCCCTGCTTGTCTCAGTCCCATCCTTCAATTCTTCCAAGCGCCGGAGGAGCAGATGGACCTGTTCCTCACAAAGACCCCTGCCATGGCTTAGCTCATCCAGTGCTCCAAGCAGGGCAAATACGCAGGACACTGAAGCATAACATGCTTCAATACCACCCTTGATGCACGCTTCTGTCATCCCATCCATGATACTACAATTAAAACAGAATTTATCTAAGTGATGCAGTGTATATAGAGAGCCTGTCATTATCATCTGACACTAACCCTCCCAGAACTAGGAAAAACAGAAGTGAAATTGTCCTGTTGTACTACTTCTGGAAAAGACACCTAGAATTACAACAAATAATTACATCTCCCGTGTGGACACAGCCAATCTGTAAAGGGAGTGCCAACCAAGGAAATAGTTACTGGGCATTTTTTCCAGCATGCACAGTGCATTTTCCCTTACAGACAAGCACTCACACTGAAAAACGAAACAAACAAGCAATGCTCCCCTCCCCCAACTGAAATTAAGTTATGTGTCCTGAATCAGCAAGAATGCTCTTTATGAGAATGAAGAATGCTTTTTGCTCAATCTGACAATGTTTCAATTCTGGATTACCTCCTTTGACTTCACCTTGGAAATGTACTTCCAAATAAGCACGATCACTTCATTGCAATGTTAGGACCCATACCTAAGAATTTCCAGCTGTAAAACAATTTATATGGGTATTTTTGTAAACTCCTCAAGGCGGTTACTTTTACAAACAAGCCCAAACTTATTAAAAATCAGTAAAAGCTTTTATCCACCACATTGTTTCACAGCTTATTTCACTTGGGAGATACCCTGACTTGCTCATACGTGGATATGCTTCTGAAGGTGCAACTATTTAAGTGTCTTGTGCACACAGGTTTAAGAGGATAAAGGAGGAAACAAAGCATACAGCTTGAGAAGGTCCAGATGGGACTTCCTTTTAGAAATAGACCTCTTCCTGGATTCTGACTCAGAAGAGCAGGGCCCTGCCAAATCACAAAGCCTCCGAGGACTGCCAAGTATCTGAAGGAAAGGAAACATAAGTTACTAGAGGGTAATTTAAGTGTTATTTAAATACAATAAATGAGTCATAGTTTGGTCAAATGCTAGAACCTGAAGCAGCTGTACTGCAAATTCTCTCAGCAAACTAAAACAGCACACTTAAGTTTTATTTATGAAAGCTATCTTTCCTCTTTTTAAAAGGAGAAATGCTTATATAGAAAAATGACATATACAGCATGCATCACATACAGGTTGTTCTCTAGTGCTTTACATTACTGACTGAACATGTTTCAACTGAACTGCAACCAAGACAATCTCAAATGCCTAAATATACAAATATATTGTATTATATTATATACTGAAGGGAGTTTTGCTTGTCAGTCACCCATTACAAAAAGTCACCCATGCAAAAACACGCAAAGTGATTACTTCTGTGAAGTGATTCAGGCAGAAGGTGTATTAATGAGCAGAAAGAGGTAACAGAGAGATCCTGAAGGTAAAAATATTGAACTAATATTTTCCTAAAATATCTTAAAAATGAAATGCAGATTGTCATCTTGCAATTGCTTAAAATTATAGGAAGGTAAGTGCCAGAATGACTGGGCGTTCTGACAGCAACCCTGTGGGTGGTTGCGCGGTGTTAGGAGGGATCTTCAGACAGCCTCTCTAACAAAAATCCTCTAAAGAAACCATTGTTCAAACAAATTATGGATGCTGCTTTGCAGTCCACAATACGAGAAGAATGCAGCCGATGTAAATGTGCTGTTTGAAGAAGTCTCACAAGCACTGCCACAGGTACAGGGTGACAGGCCATAAAGGACTGGCCTTGGCAGCCGCTTGTGACACTGGCAGCTTCCTTTTGGCTACTCTAATAAAGCTCAAGGAAACCATATTTCAAAAATCTGGCACATAATCAAAGCATACATTCCCCTTAATGTCAGGAACACTGCAGTGTGAGGATGAATGTTTTCTAGCAAGAGCAGAGAGTGGGGAAAGATGCCAAAGGAGCTGAGAACAGAATCACTACACTGCATGCCATCCAAAAGAGCAGTCATGACTCAGTGATAAGACCCACTCCAAGCATGAACACGGAGTTGCCATAGCAGCATTATGGAGACAAATATATTTATTACAATTTTGTAAAACTAAAAATATTTATCAGAGTAGCTTTGATGTAAAAATTGTACTCAGAAAGGGGCAACTACAGCACCACTAGTGCTAAAGTATGGAGCAGACAAGTATGCACATCTCAGCAATATTTACTGTTAAATTAACGTTTTGCTTTACTTGCATGGATTTGCACCTGGACTTTACATCTTACCTCCTTCATAATTTTGATGGCTTCTACTCGGTGCTGAGGTGGTGGGTAAAGCAATATCCGATGATACAGAGACTGCAGCACAGGCTTCATGGATTCCACTGTCCCCACCAGTCGAACCAGTTCTGCAGCAATATAGTATATGGTCCGTGCAACAGGCCCACTGAGGGCAGGTGCTGTGGATGAACAGCCTGAACCTCGGCCATGATCAGAGACCCCTGAGGAAGGTGAATCAGCTTCTAGACAGATGCTGCTGTGGGCAGAGGTGATAGTTTTGTCATGGATTGGATTTCCCAGGATTACTACTAGGGCTGGACACAGTTGCTTCCTAAGACAAAAGAGAAAAAGCAGCAGATGGTAACCAGAAAAATCTCACAGGAACAGAATGAAAATAGCCCATAGCACACACTCTTGTTTTAATAATCAGTGAACAGCAGTGGTTAGATTGAATAACAAACTACATGAGGCTCTTTTAAACTCCCAGGCACCAGCAAGCTAGCACATACACAAATGCTTCTGGGGGTTTTATAAAGATGATACTGATTTTCCAAGTTCATATTACTGCACCATGCTGTGTCCTTCGCAGAATAGCATACCTCCCTCTTTAATTAGCTACAACATACCTCGAGGTAGGAACACCAAGTTTCTGCTGGCAAGTGTTTCTTCTGTCCAACTTGGGAACTTAAAAAAACCTGACCAAATGGAAAACAATCTCTGCTAACTGCATGGCTTGATGTTCCATTGCTGCTCTGAAGATGCATGTATGTCACTAAGCAGCCCAAGCTGCGGGCTTTTGAGAATGCAATTAAAGTCCTCCACAGTAACTCCAAGTATGCAGTGTAAATTCTCATATGCCTGTAAACGCACCATCCTTCCTTAAACTGTCTTTTTGCAGAAATGTTCAAATGATTCCACGTCAGCCAATCCCTTCTCTTCCTCTTCGTCCTCCTCAACAACATGGTGGAATCAGAGTCAAAACCAACTCTGCCCTCTGTTCATTAAGCTGTTATGTCAGCCTTGCCTTCAGACACTTGCCATTTTACTCTAGCTTGCAATATCATAACTTATAAAACTGAAATGCTACATGAGAAAGCAATCCCAAACCCAATTTTCAACCATGTGCCTCAGAGGCTCAGCTAACACCTAGTACATACACCCAGTGACAAGTAATGCTTCAGCATCAAAAGTAAACCAGTACATACATCTTATTTCCCAAGCTTTTCATGCTGCCCAGAATTTTCACTGCCTCTCTTAAAAGACATTGCTAAAACTGTTCAGCCTCCTAAACTCACAGTATAAAAACCATTTTTTAAAACAGATATCAGATAACGATATTGGGTCTGCTTATTCCATTTATTTAAAATGTAAACGGGGACATTTCAAAATGTATTAATGCACTGCCTCAGAGCAGGCACAAGTACAGTAGCAACAGCAACATATTCCCCACGTTAGTTCCATCGAAGTGTTTCTGTATCAAACTATGGAGAACACTCTGACAGACAAACAGAGCACTAAATCTTCTTTATCTTTCGAAGAACAAAGGCGATTATCAGTCTGGCTCACAACTTCACTAGACAGTTAATGGATTAGGGAATGCTTATGCTGCTAGAAACTGCAGACATCACCCTAACTATAAACCGTTTCATGTCTTCCTTGTGTTAATTTTATTCAGCTTTAGCATGTACCTGGAGGATACATACTACTTGGTAGCAAAGCAGGTTTAAAAGGTCCTGCCCCTCATGACTTGCCCTCATGATATACAAGCACAAACACAAATCTCTGCAGATTTGTAAACTGGATCATCAAAATAACATAAACTTAAATGAAACAGGAAGTGTTTTCTTTTAACTGTGATCATTTCGGTGACCTTGCTTACAGGATGACCCCAAAAACAGACACAGGAGCATAAACAAAGGGCTGTTTGAAATACAAGGGAAGAAACTTTCAAAATGCCATGAAAGAGAAAATGATGATTTTACACTGAAGCTCCCAGAGGTTTCAGTACGGAGTCTGCATGCAATGCTGCCAAGTGTTATCAGCCTGGAAGACCTTCCTGACTTGCAGACACTGAGCACCAGGTTATGCAATTTTTTTCTGGGACAGCAAAGGAAGCTCTGAGTGCTCCTGTACACTGCATCTTTAGAACTGGGCCAGAATTATACAATTCAGCTTCAAAGTCACAGGGTAAAAGTTGAGCATGAGGTCCTGTGAAATCCTGTATGAAGTACAAAACAAACCGACAGAGGGTTAATAGAGAGCTCTGCTCTTATCTGATGACTTCCTGCAGGCTTGTTTGCATGGGTGGTGGTGGGGAAAGGCCCTTCTACACTGGGGAAAGGTCACTTCTACTTATAAATTGACTATCTGTATTAGTCTTCAGATACACTCACCATATTAGATCAGTGAATCCTTTGTGCTGGTGCATGGTTGGAGAGGAGCTGTTTAACATGGAGAGGATGCACTCCAAATAAAGAAGCTGAAGTTGTCGATTGTCACTGGCAAAAAGAAAAGATGCCAGTCATGTCACACTGAAACAAAGATTATTTACTTATTTTCAAGTAACCACATTAGTTTGCTTGAAAACCATACCACAATTTACATCAGTGATTTATTTTGATACTTCCTATGGATTTACAGTGGTACGATTGCATTTATCACCCCATTTAATTTGTACAGCTCATGTGCAGCAATCTTTTACTACTTCTTGTAGGTAATGTAAGGAAAATAGATTTAATTCATCAAATTTCACAGTAAGGAATAAGAAACTGATGCTAAAGATGACGAGAAGGAAAATAGTAATTATTTTTCAAATTTAATCTGAAACTTGAAGTTGAAGAAACTCTTAAAAAGAGGAAAAATGGATGACCAGAAAATGTTGGAATTATCAACAATTTCTTCTGGCAATCTTATAGGCATTTAGACTACTTTCTTCTGGTTATCTTTTTGTTTCCTTGATGAAAACCACAACAGTTGCAAGTCAATGTCTACAGGCAAAAACTTACATGATCACACAGCCCCTTTTCAGAGCCTTGTCAGTTATACTCTATAAATCAAACACAAAATGAGCTTAAAGAGGAAGAATGTGAAAGACCGTGTAGTCACTTGGAATCAATGTGTTTTTAATGTACAATGTACTTGTAACTATTCTCTGAATTACCTGCAGGATTCAGCAAACAAGAGAAGTTAAGTTCTGCCAAAAGAAGGTAGCTTCCACAGCACTCATGTTCTGGTTTACATTTTGTAAACTAAATGTTTTTTGCTGTGCTTTTTTGGTCCAAAATGAGAACTGGACGAATGTATCTCATGATGTATGAGGGCAGCTCTGACAGTAATGTCTCCTATTTTATTACACTAGCCACGACATCAGAGGTGACCACTGGTAGCACGACAGCAGAGGTTTAAACTTCCCAGCAACATTCCATTCCATTTTTTTTTTTTTTTTTTTTTTTTTTTTTCTCTGTGTGACAGACGGTAGCAGTCTGGCAAAATGGCATCAGAAGCAAAGGTTGGCATTGCATTTCTATGCATTAAAAAGAGCGTGGCCAGCAGGTCGAGGGAGGTGATCCTCCCCCTCTACTCTGCCCTGGTAAGGCCTCATCTGGAGTACTGCGTCCAGTTCTGGGCTCCCCAGTACAAAAAAGACAGGGATCTCTTGGAAAGAGTCCAGCGGAGGGCCACAAAGATGGTGAAGGGCCTGGAGCATCTCCCCCATGAAGAAAGGCTGAGTGAACTGGGTCTGTTCAGCCTTGAGAAAAGAAGACTGAGAGGGGACCTGATCCAGGTCTATAAATATCTAAGGTGTGGGGGGGGCAGAATGGTGAGGCCGGACTCTTTTCAGTGGTGAGTGGAGACAGGACGAGGGGAAACGGCCGGAAACTGCAGCATAGGAAGTTCCGCACAAATGTGCGCAAGAACTTCTTTACAGTGAGGTGACGGAGCACTGGAACAGGCTGCCCAGGGAGGTGGTGGAGTCTCCTTCTCTGGAGATGTTCAAGACCTGCCTGGATGCCGACCTGTGCGACCTGCTGTAGGGAACCTGCTTTGGCAGGGGGGTTGGACACGATGATCTCTGAAGGTCCCTTCCAACCCCTATGATACTGTGACTCTGTGATTTCTCTGTGTGGCAAAAATGGCACACAGTGGCATTCACTAATGCTTGCTGAATGTTTATGGATAACAGTGGAGGTAGTGGGTGGTGCATTTCAGCAGTGGCAACAGCAAGTTATAAGACAAGCCACATTCCAGATGGCCATGCACTGCTGCCACACCACAAAATGAAGAACACCTTAATCAGTTCATCCAAATGAACTGGCAGATTATGATCAGGGAACTATGTACGGAACTGAGTATCAGCTTTATTGTATCGGAAACGATTGGCAACATTGGAACATCAAAAAATCTGCACCAAGTGGGTCATACAAATGCTCAAACAGGAATAGAAGGAACACAATATGTGAGTTTGTCAGGACCTATTGAACCAATGTGAAATAGAAAGTGACAGCTTCATGGATCACATCATTACTGGTGATGAGATGTGACGTTACTACTATGAGACAGAGTCAAAAGGGCTGTCCATGGAGTGGCAATGTAAATTCCCCATGGAAGATAAAATACAAGATGCAGCTTTCAGCAGGTAAAGGAGATGTGAACTGTCTTTTGTAAGACTTCTGTACTTCTCAAAACCTGGACAAACAATCAATTGACCATTATACCATGATGCTGACCAAGCTGATAAAGGTTTGAATTTCCAGAGTCAGGCCGGAAAAGAAGACAGCCTTTCTCTTGTAACATGCCAGGCCTCATATCAGTTTGAAAACTGTGGACTGCCAATCCTAGCTGCACTGATCTGCCACACCCACCATGTAGCCCAGATTTGGCACCTTCTGGCTTCCATCCACTCAAGTTGATGAAAGATGGACTGTGTGGGCAACATTTTCCTAGCAACAATGCCATCACAACAGCTGTGAAACAGTCACCTCTGCTGGTGCAGAGTTTTAGAAGCACAGCACACATGCTCTTGTCCACCACTAGAAAAAATGCATAGCTAATGGCACTGATCATGTTGAAAAATACTTTTTGTAGCTGAGAATTTTCTCTATCAAATAGTGTTATTGTGCTCTTTGTGCATCTGTTACAGTTTCCATGGAAATAAATAGGAGGCATTACTTTCAGAGCAATCTATGCATGACAGTAAGTAAAGAAGTCTGTGAAGAATGTATGCACTTTAAATGAAATTAAGTTTTCTGTCACTGTCTGTCTCAGCGTATTTTGTTCACTTAGATATTACAAGTTCTACTACATTTCACCACGTGCACTGTAATTGTTCTCTTTACAATTATTGCTTTCATGACATTCAGCAAGCCAAAAAAAGAAAACTTGTCCCTTGACAAGCTCTTCACTACTGTATGGAAGTTATCTACAGATTAGATTTGTTGGAAGCTCTTTAAAGCTAAACAGCGCTGAACAGTGAAATTAGCTTCTCATCTCAAGTGAGAATTAAATTAATGCATTATGAACAATACTTCTTATCACAAACAATTTAATCACAGTTTTATTCCATAATCTCAGAACTATGACAATACAATCACATATATCAGTGAAACCCCCAATCTCCAGGTAACAAATTCAAATTATAAACTGAAATAACTCACTTTATGACAGCCTGGAGCTTCTCGCAGAGCACAGTGAGGACAGATACAACATCGTCACAAAGAGACTCAGCTGAAGTACCTCCAAAAAGGACAAAGATCAGAGGCATTACATATTTGCAGGGAGACTACAACCTCAAATCACTGCATGGACTTTCAGAGTTGGTCAAAGCATATAAACAATAGGCAAGGCAGCCAAAATTCAGACAGGACGCAGAAGAAAAAGTCCTAGATTGGAAACTGATCTCAATACAATGACAAAGCAGCAGTATTAAATCCAGAGAGAGCACTGATGCTTACGCGCATTTAGAAAAGGTTAGCTGAAATTCAATTCAGGTAATAGAATAAGCAAATAATAACTATAAAAAAGGGACTAGCTCCAGTACTTCTCTGGGGAGCTAAACATCTCTGCAGCATTCCATACAGCTTCTCTCTCATCCACAGAGATCTTAAAAGGGGATCGTTGTTCACTTTCAATATTTTAGCCTCCATCCACACAGGTTGTCCTAGAGAAATCCAGTGAGAAAATTCAAAAGCAGGGAATATTTTGAACTCTCAGGGAAGACGGTGGATGATAAGCCAGAATGAGAGCAGAAAAACTCACTTGTAAGGTTATAATTTGGCAAGTATAACTTCGCTAGTAACGTGCTTTCAAAAGCTGCCATTATACAAATGCCATCCCTGACCCAAAATACAGTAAACACAGCCATTTCCAGATTCTACCATCTTGCTCTATGAGTCCGCTTCAATTTGGGAATCCACTTATTAACTCTTTCTCCAGAGCTCTGAAATACCTTAATTAAAGAAGTTAGCACTGTGAAACAACCATTTATAACTATGTGGAGAGCAATGCTGTTAACATGGCTCAAATGAAGGCACTACTGGCAATATCAGGAGCTAACAGGGCTGTTTCAGTTCTTACCACAAGTAACACAAACAGTAACACGCTATGAAGAAGGTAAAAGATCCTGAAGATGGAATTTCTGTGATTTCAACAGCCGTGTGTTGATGAATGGAAAGTGAAGAATTAATAAGTTGGATTGGATGGAGTCACTAAAAAAGCTGTACAGATACCTTGACTTTTGCATTTCTGCAGGGCCTCATTATTTTCAATTGTCTGTTGAGAAAAGATAGATGTGCTATAATCAGTGCACGTAGCAGAAAAGTCAACGTACAAGCAACGCTTTAACAGCAGAGCTTTCTTAACAAATCCATGTCCTCTATCTTTATTTTTTTGTTGTTGTTGTTTAAGTGAAGCTTAATACCTTACGAAATGTTTAAACAATCACTTCGATCTAAGAAATTCATATCTCATTTAGCTGAACTGGGATTTGTAAACTCTTAAGGGATTTCCTACATCTACAAAAACACAGTAATAACTAGGCATGTAGGTCTCAATAAAAATAACTGAGAAAAAAAGCACTGTTTAGACTTCACAAGATACTTAGAAACCCAAATCCTCTGAGTATGGGAGAGTTTATCACACCATCATCATTAATATTGCAGTGCCAATACACAAATTAATGACAGTCGGGAATTGGAAATGACCTCTTACATCATTTGGCTCAGCTGTGGTATAGGATTCCTTCTATCAATGCAGTTCTCACATACCTTCACCTACGCTGCATTTAGAGCAGAAATCCAAACTCAACTTCTAAAACAACGATCTTCCTTCTTCCTCCCCCCAAAAAGTATTATGGCTAGTAAAATGAACATACTTAGCACACAGAGAAAATAACTTTAAGTAAACCGATGAATTCAGTTCTGCAGGTACTTACTAGGATAAAAATAATCTAATCCAGCATTCCAAAACAGAAGTGGTCACCTTAACCCCAAACAGGTACAGGGAAAATAATCTGACCTTCACAATTAGTACCTGTTTCTTTATATACAAATATGCATAAACAGATCTAAGAAGCCAATGACATTCCAGATGTGCCCAGAACATTTACAGTTTTGCGGACAATGTGTTGGGATTTCACTTAAGCAGCACGGATTTTAATAATGCAATAAACAGAAGTAATATTTTTGCTAACAACTGAGCAGACAAAAGATTCCATTAAATTACCTTCACTAAAAAGAGTAGCAATAAAAAACTCAATTACACTTTCAACAGCTGAGAATTTGTTCGGTTGATGTAAATATCTGTAATGTAGGATATTTTGGTGAAAGGATTTCCACAAATCTCAGGTAAACAAGCAAACAAAATAAAAGATAGAAAAGGAAAAGGTCAAAGTAGTCTGACATCAGAACAAAGCCTCTTTTGTTTAACAGAATGAGAACAAAATACGGCCAAATAGAGCCACCAATGTGAGAGTTGCCTTCCTGATAGACTGCTCTAAGACAGGCACAAAGTCAGAGCCCAACAAAGCTTCCGAATGGGATTAGTTGTGGAAGGCTGAAATAAAATCCATTAGGCACAATAAACCAGTACAGTGCACTGCATTCAGAGAAACTAAACGGTATGCAGCTACGGAATGGAACCATTTGTTGATGCCAGAAGGCTCACCATATTTTCTTGCTTTTGTCGTAACTGTAAAGTCAAGTCACTCAACATTTGGCTGAGGGTTGCCCGCACAGCGGTGTTAATGCTCCGCTGGTGACAGCTAGATACATATGTCTCAATGCAAACCTGATGAGAAACAAGATAGCAATACGTAGATATTAACTGTAACTTACCAGTAACACACTTCAAGAGGATACCAAGGTCTCTTGCATGCAGATAGTCAGCCTGCCTTGTTATTCCATATTGCTTTATTAGCACACGAAAAGCTTTCAGCAATATGGGTAACTGAGTAAACAGCACCAAGTAAAATGCAGCTCATTAGTTAATAAGTCTCACAGATGCAGGAATGGTAAGGCAAAATTGGCAAAAATCTTCCCCTTCTGTCAAGCCCAACTGAGTTTGGCACTTGCTTTGCACTTAAAAATATATCTTCAAATGTTAGTTTGATTGATCTTTTCTAGAGACTTATTCACAACTATCACTTGGCAAGTCTGTATTCTGTATGACGTAAATACACTCCAATCCTTTAAAGTTGTTATTTTAGTAATAAATATTCGCCCACCTTTTTTCTGTAATTAGTGCAAGGGCAAATAGTGCCTCATGAGCGTAGTAGCGTTCTATGACACAGTGACTATATCAGTTTACAAGAGAAGATCAACTGATGTTACCCACCTGGACTACTGTAAGGTCTCTGATACAGTCCCAAAAGACACCCTAAATTGGAGAAACATGGATGCAAAGGGTAGACTATTCAGGGGCTAAAGAATTGGCTGGACAGTCACAGCTGGAGGATTGCAGTCCTTAGCTCTGTGCTTAAATGGAGCCTGGCCATGAATGGTGCCCCCCCAGGGGTTCGTCTTCAGACCAGTGTTCTTCAACATCTTAATCAGTGACACAGACATTGAGTGTACCCTCAACAAGTTTGCAGATGACACCAAGCTGAGTGGTGCAGTCAATATGACAGAAGGAATGGATGCCATCTAAAGAGATTTCAACAGGCTTGAAAAGTGTGCCCACGTGAACCTAACAAGGTTCAACAAGGCTAAATACAATGAGCTGCACCTCATCCAGAGCAATCCCTGTCCTGAGTAAAGACTGAGAGAAGAACCTGTTTGCCCTGCTAAGGAGGACTTGGGGATTCTGGTAAAAGAAAAACTTGATGAGGGCCAGCTGTGCACATTTGCAGCCCAGAAGGCCAACTATTCTGGCCTTCATCAGAAGAGGAATGGAAAGCAGGGACAGGGAGGTGATTGTCCCCATCTGCTCTGCCCTCATGAGGCCCTACCTGGAGTATTGTGTCCAGGTCTGAGGCCCCCAGCACAAGAAAGATACAGAGCCATTAGTGTTGGTCAAGAGAAGGGCCACAAAGATGATCAGAGAGAAACTGACTTTTCTCACAGTCTTACAGAGATAAGACTAGGGGGAGTGGTTTTAAACTAAGAGAGGGATATTAGATATTAGGAGGACATTCTTTACTCAGAATGGTCGTGAAGCACTGGAACAGGCTGCCAGAGAAGCTGTGGATGCTCCATCCCTAGAGGTGTTCAAGCCAGCTTGGATGGGGCCCTGAGCAGCCTGATCAAGTGGGTTGAAACTAGATGACATATAAGGTAACTTCCAACAGATACCATCCTATGATTCTATTATACTGAAGCATATATATATACACATATGCAGTTATTATTCAATATGGCACATACATCTACATCTGAAAGCCTCTAAATGGCTTTTCTTACTACAGGAGATACTATTGTGATACACCATAAATTACATAAATATTTGCCTTTTAAATACTGGCAATCAGCCTAAAGTTTCCTTAGCTGGGAGAACCCCAGTGAGAAGCCTACAATGAAAGAACATCAGTGTATCATCTAGTTCCCAGCTCCATGCTCAGCTGTTTGCAGTTTTTTGACACTGCATTGTGACCAAAATTCTGTTGGACTCTTGCCTCAAGATGTTACACAAATAGCTACCAAAGCATAATACAGCTGCGATCCAGGGGATAGGACATTACAAATGGCAGTCTCTCAGTTCTTACTGCTCTTTCTAAAGATTCCAATCCCCTCCCAAAACAAAGGATTTTATTGATCTTGAGAGCAATTGGCATGTGAAGGTGATTTTGTAAGTTAAAAGAAAGGATCAACTATTCCCATCATTCAGTTACCACCCTCCAGAGAACAAAGAATCCTAAAGCCTATTTACCACAAAGAGTCAGAGAGGCCATACCATTCCAAATGCTGCTGAGCTGCTGGACACAGAGGAACAATTGTTCTCGATCTCTCTAGAGTTCCTGAATTAATTGATAGAATGCCATTCTCAGAGATAGGCTGACTTTCTGGTAAGAGCATGGTTGATATCATCTTTTTCTTCCCCCCTCCCCATGTCTGTGAAAGAGTGGCAGTACTGTCCACGTGAGCTCTGATCTTATGGAAGGAGTGCATTCTAAAATGGCTGGGCAAGGTACCTTTTGAAAAGCCACTGATGAAGGATTGCCAGTAAAAATTCGAGAGCTCAGGGCCCCAAGGAGGTATGCAATGGACATTTTGATCATTTCATGCATTCGGGGACTTCCAGCTCTATTGCATGCAAAACACAACTAAGAGCAAAACACAGAAGGGTTAGCTAATGAAACAACAGAATCAAACAAACTTTCAAAATGTAGATGGAAGTAACAAATACACACATGACAAACAAGGGTTAGAACATAAGTTACACTTTCTTGTAGTGGTCCAGGCAAGCATGAGAAGTTTCACATAGCAAGATTTAATCTGTTTTCATTACTAGTAATACTTAAACCATATAACGTAGTACTCTTCTTGTTGGATGCTTCATTCATTTCGGGCTGAAAATATTCAGTAAGATTCATGGTGCTATTGATTTGTACATATTAATTGAGAATGACTAGACAGTGCAAAACAACCAGGTGGTAGCCCTGTTTGTCACAGTGAATCCCCAGATTGAGGTCCACCAGTAACACAGGCAGCGTCTTTCCAATCCTGCAGTAGCTCCTGCTTTGCTACAGAGGGCAGGCTAGGAAAAGTAAGGGACCTGAAAAGAAATGCCAAATAGCAGGGATAGTGAAGTGCATAGCTCCTCTCTGCCATCTTTATATTAGAGCAAGTCAGAACAATAAATGCTGGGGCTAAGCAAATGCTGAACTCAGAAATCATTATCTGTTTCCTACCGCCTATACACTGCAGAATTCAGGTAGAAAGGAATACTGAGTCCAACTGATAAAGTCTTTGCCTTACCTAAAACCTGGCTGAACAGAACCTGAGGAAGCATGTATTGCTTGAAGGGATTTGCTAAATAGAAAGAGGTAAGCATTCAGTGAAACAATATTTTCTCAGGGATTGTGGGGAAAATACCTGTACCTCCAAACATACCAAATAAAAACGTTTGTGTTCTCTATCATGGTTCATTCTAATTCCGTAGGGGATTTAAAAGCTTTGTTTGTTTTGATGGCAGTTCTTAACAGCACTTATCATGGATCTGACCCATTTTAAAAGAAAAAGAAAACTATCATTGTGGTAACTCATACCACTATACTAGCAAGGATTTTTAAAAGCTGGGATGGACTTTTGGGAAGTGAATTGCAAGTATCTACAACAGCAGAGTTCAACTTCAATAAATGAAAAAATGTTTTCAGGATGTTTTAAATGAACAGCAGGTCTATTGTTATCCAGATTTACAGAGAAAACAGAAAATATTATTTCTGATACAGTTCATAGCACACAGATCATGACTGATTGACCATTTTCCTCTAGTCTTATGCTGAAATCAGAAGGGTTTAGAGCCATTAAATGCTTTTCCCAGCATGTATTTTGTCTAAGTCAGATTTCTTTGCTTGCAGCAGAGATGGACTAAACTGAATTAATCATCTCATGCCCTACATGTTGGAAAGTTTGCTGCAAAAAACTGCAGCAAGGAAACAATCTGTTTTCTTCTGTTTGGGATGTTAACTTAGGAAGGGTTTAGTAAAACTTAAAACAGTTTGAATGGCTCTAAATACCAGTTCAGCTCAATCTTGCTGCAACCTTGACAGCTGGGCTTACAAAGACTTCCAAAAACAGCCACACTTCATGGAAATGGAAACCTCACATAGCAAAAAGAAACCAAGGGATGAGTTGGGCAGAACATCTGTTTAAAAAAAAAAAAAAACTCCCCTCACAAATGGTAAAAACTGAGAAGGAATTCATCTCTGAGGCTTTACATGCACGAATTTTACTGGGAGTCTAGCAAGGAACATTTAAAGAACCCTCTTGCTGTGGTCGGGTCTGAAATATGGCAATATTAAGAACTAATAAGTCTTTATTTTCAAAAAGAACAGTTATCATATACATTGGGAGGAAATGGATGGTATGTAAAAACTGCAAGGACATGTACGTCATCCTTATATTGCTTCATGGGCATTTCATGGGCTTCATTTAGCTCTCCCCTACATTAACAATATAATTTCAGAAAACATTCTGTACATAACCATGTGTGCTGTGCAGGAGAATTAAGTATTTCTGTGTCTCTTCTCTAACTTGAGTCTACAGTCCAGTGGTTTGCTACACAATTCATACAGAAATGCTCGCTTTGTAGAACTGCACATGTATGGTTTTCTACAGCCAAAGCTCCTCTACAACTTAAGACTTTCAGACTAAAATCTGATTGGAAAAAAGGGGAGACACACCTAGTAGCACCTAGATAACACCACGTATCCAGAGGCATAATAAAACCTTTACTTGGAAGTATTAGGAAAAATGAACACAAAACTAGAAGGCATATTGTGGCACTTCTGCTGATGAGGCATGTTGTAGTCCTCACATCACCCTTTATTGAAACTCAGTAGTATTAGGGTTGCACCAGAATTAGCACAATACTGTATTATTAAGAACACAAGGATGTTTTCCTATTGCAAAATGCAAAACAAAATAAACATGAGGACTTATATGCTATAGCATTGCAAGTCCACTATCATCAGTCAATTTCAAAAAGTACACCTTCTCATGCAAGCCCACCAGTTCTGTACAACTTGTAGTTGTATTTTCATACTAGACAAAGTAGTATGAGCCCTTAAGATGGCAGCTGTGATTTGGACTACTTCAGATTCAGGCAGGATACACACAGAAGACACAGTCTAGCTGGAGGGGAAACATTAAATGGCTCCAACAGTGGTACAACTTACCTCAGCAATCTTCAACACTGAGCTCCCATTCAGCTCAAACGTGGAGGTATATGTTATACAGAGCAAGACCTTGAATCAAAAGAGAGGAAAGAAAGAAAGAAAATTTAAATTTCATTTGTTATTGCTTCTCTTCCCCATTCATGCATTTTCAGCTACCTCTCTTTTCGTTTTTAGAGTAGATATCAGAAGCTTTTCAGCACCACGCTACTGGAATAAAGGGGTTGGCAATATCAAGGAACTTAGTTGCTTCCTCCTGAAAAGTTGCAACAGTTGGCACCAGAGGCGTAGCCCAATGGACTACTTATCAGCCTCGCACATCTGGCCAAGGAATCTGTCATCAATCTCAGCCTTGAAAACCAGTTGATAGCCAAAATCTATTTATACTTCACCCACAAGCTTTCCATGATTTATAATCAGACCATTCATTTATTACTGCTAGTGTGACAAACGAGGGAGGAAAAAATGTATGAAATACAAATTATTATCAGATGACACAGACGCATGTATTATGTGAAACAAGCCATTAATTGCCACTTGGCACAGAAAGGACTTCCAAGCCTTAGGATATTTCCAGTAAGTATACTGTAGTCACTTGATAATGCACAGTAAAAAGTAATTCTCAGACTCCAGTTCACAAGGGATTAGGAATGAAGGTAGTGTTGTATGATGTTTTCACCATCTGGCAATGTCCTTCCTTCCACCTTACTCTCTCCCTCATCTCCCTTTCCAATCCCTCCAGCACTATGGAAGACTGATAGAGTCTGATCTACTGTCCTCTTTCTTTCTTCACTGTGTTGCCCTTTCCACAGTAAGTTGGAACAATAGAAAATTACTGTAACAGTTTGAAGGAGCAAGCTGGATCACCTCCCATTTGCAAGTCGCATCACCTCTGTAGATCATGATGATCTCTACAACCATCTCAAAGTCTTCAAAAAGAACAAAGGAACCACAGACAACTCTAGTACTTCTTAAGCAAGCTGAAGCCCCTGAACCTTCCTCAATAATACTTAATCTCTGAGAGAGTTCTCCTCCTTGCTGTTATTTTGCACCATAGGAGAAAAATCCATTACTAGGAAACAAGCATTTAATAATTTTAGGGCAATTTGAACACTAAATACAAAAGAAGCTCTGAGCATTATCTGTTTGCTCTTACATGTACAGACAAAGTGCCTGCCCACAGATGAGTGCATCATTTTTCTGTAGAACATAAATAACCTCCTTCACATTTTGACAGTCAGTGTGAAAAGTTTCTACCCACTGAAATACATGGTATCTTTATATATATATATATATATATATATATATAAAGATATTTTTTTTTTTTAATTTATTATTCTTTACTCTTTTCAGCAGAAGAATTGCATTTCGCTACAGGTTATCACACCTTATCCACAATTTATTTGATTGCATTTTTATAATAAAAAGAAAATACTGGCCAGGGCCTTGTTCCTATTCTTAGGAAAGATGATTATACAACCAGAAGTGTTCCAAGAACAACATTATGTAACAGCAGCTTTATATAGTTTATATATGATATCTAGCCCTGATTCACACTCAGTTCTTTGTAAGTAGATGCTGACAGATTTGGACAAACACTAGAGGTAATGAGAAATGAAAAGGACATGCTACTCTTGCGTAGTACAACGGTTGTGTCCTATCATTTTTTTTTTTTTTTTTTTTAACATATTTAGCATTTAGCTTTAGAGATAAACAGTTTCTAAGCCAACTTTCTTCACAGTTTTCAAAATCACAGAAACATACAAAGTTATCTGCCAGACTCTGCATATTCTTGGCTTACTTAACTTGTTCCCATCCTCCCTTACAAATTGTTTCTAAGATCTGGAAGACAGTTTCTGACCATGCACAAGACTGCCCTCAGCTATGATTGCTGTCAGCACTGCTGCAGAGCTCATTTACAGTCTCGGCAATGTTCCAGGCACTTAACTCATGTTTTCCCATTTCAATGGAACAGGATGACAGCAGTTTTTTCTGAGATTACTGGATGAAAGATGGGATTAAACAAACAAACAGCCCTTAATCATTCAGATGCACTACAGACACCGATTCTCCAGACAGTATATCCCTGTGGTGGGTTAACCTTGGCTGGCACCCAGGTGCCTACCACGCTGCTCTCATTCCCCCTCCTCATTACGATGGAGAGAACAGTGATGAAAAACTCACAGCCATGATAAAGACAGGGAGTTTGCTCACCAATTACTGTCGAGTAATTTAATTGACTGCAAATTAGTAACAGAGTAGGATACTGAAAAAAAACAAACAAAATGCAAACTACCTTCCCTCCTTTCCCCGCTGCTCTTCTTCCCAGACTCAACTCCCCCCAAGCAGTTCAGGGGAACAAGGCTGCAGTCAGTCCATAATGCTTTATCTCTATAGCTCCTTCATGGTCATCCTCTGCTTAAAGTGGGGTCCTTCCCATAGGATGCTGTCCTTCTTGAACCAATCCTGTGTGGGTTTCCCACAGGCTGCAGCTTTCCATGCATTGCTCCAACACAGCTCCATACTATGGGGACCACCCTTCAGGCACTGTTCCAGCATGAACCCCCAAGGGCAGAGCTCCCTCAGCCCTTCCCCACCACAGGCTCCATTCCACGAGCTGCAGCTCAGGCTCAGGCTGTGGGGCTCTCCTTGGGCTGTATACCCTTCAGGACACATCCACTGCTGCACAGCAGATTCCTTCATGTCTGCATGGGGAGATCTCTACACAGCGCCTGAGGGCTGCAGAGGGACAACCTACTTCTCCATGGGCCTCTCCTGGGCTGCAAGGAGCTTCTGCTCCACTTCTGGAGCACCTTCTACCCTCCTTCTGTGCTGACCTTGGGGGCTGTAGGGCTGTTTCCTCACATCTTCTCATTTCTCCCTTTCACAGTTGCAACATTTTTTGCCCTCTCTATAAATATGTTATCAATGAGGCACAACCAGCATCACTCACTAGCCCAGCTCAGGGCAGCAGCTGGCTTGTTTTGGAACTGGCTCCTATGTGACACAGGGCAGCTGCTGGGTCCTTCACACAGAGGCCACCACTGCATTACCGTACTACCAGTGCAAATCCAACGCAATCCCAGAGGCTGCTTAACTGCTCACGATACTAATTCAAGCAGTCTATATTTAAAAAGTTAAGAAAAGAGACTTTCTTATGCAGTGACATTTTGTTTTCACAACCACTTGTACTGGAGGTGAAAAAACATTTATATTACAAAGCTTTTCCTAGTACCACTTCTACTACAAAACAAAGTTGAAAATCAGCTTCTGCTTTGCATCACTGTGGTGAAATCTTAATTGGTATGGACTTTAAAACAACCTTTTGTTTTTAGAGGAGCTCAGATAACTGTAGAGATAATTTCAAAAAAATCACACAACCTCTAGGATGTTATAACAGGCTTGTATTATCTTGCAAATGCCTGGATGAGATCAGATTTCCGTAAATGGCCTACCCATAATGAAAACATTAATTTTAATTACTGTTGAAGCTCTGCCTGTCATAGAGCAAGAAATACGATTCCCACTCCTTGGAGTCCCAGGATACCAATTGTAGTATAAGATTGCACACACAGGCAGTTTTCACAATAGGTAAGAATGAAAAAAAAGTGCTTCTACACTGAAAGTTAGTAGACACAAAATGACTTACAGTATTCAAACTGAGGTGGAATTTAACTTACATTACAGTGTCTATTTTAAGGAGATCTCTTACAGAGGGAACATTTAGGTTATGAGAGTGCTAAGTGCTGCCAGCCAAGTTCTCCAAGTGCTTAGTACATATTTGTAGTGAAAGGCAATTGTAACACTGAAGAGCCTATGGTGGAATCATGAACTCAACAAGGTGTGGAAGCAAGCAAGCAGTGCCCCCAGGACAGTGAAGGAGGGCAAAGGTACAAATCTTAAAAATAATCGTAATCTACGATGACAAAAGGATGCTTCATCAATTCACTGCATTTAAGTGTGCAAGTCCAACATCAAAACACCAGTGACACCATTTTACTCTTCCAGCAAAGTCCCATTTTAACATCTGTGTTTCTTATATCTGGGATGCATGCAGTCACTTTAGACCTGAGAGAGTTGAATCTTGCAGCCATTTCTAATCTTCTTATGGGACTCATAAAATAAGTCCTGACTTAATTTACATGTAGTCTAGTAAAATATTATGCATTATATGCTTGAATGATTCCCAAAACTTCCTCCCCTAGAAGAGTAAAAACAATCAGAAAACAAAGTAGGACTACTCATCTTATTTAATAATTTGACATTTAAAACAGTCATACAGTATTTCTGCAAAATAGAACAGCAGATGTCTTTGTATTTGGCACAATAGCTACTAACCTGGCCAGGTTACATTCTTTGGCTCTGGAAGGAAAACAAGGGCTGAAGAAATAAAGTGCATTAATGAACTTATGCACACAGTGCCATCATGTACCACCATAGAAAACACAGTGAGTTTTTAATTATGAAGAGAAAGGAGGCAGTGTCTCCCATGAATTAGTAAGCCCATGAAAGGCCTTGCTATCACCAGCAACTGGTGCTCAGCATTCAGCATGCACCAGGGCTTCAAATGAAAGGGTAGTATCTGCTATGGAAGAGCCTCACAAATTATCAGTGGTGACACACTGAATGCTCCCAGATGACCGTGCTCATTAGTTTGCTAGACAAGAACAGAACTACTGCTGAGCACTATTTATGGTGGTATGAAACTAACTGAAACTTCTGCATACGTAGTACAGTTGTAGGAAGAAGTGATTTAAAGCAATTGCTTAACGGATATTTAACTGGCTTTCTTAATAGCTCTGACAGCGACCTTGTCATTAGAAATGTAATACTCAAGAGAAAGGAAGGTTTTTGAAGAAAATGAAAAAGTTGAGCAGCATTGCTAGGCTTGCATTTTGTACTTCACAGGTTACAATGTATTTAGGTACACTGCAGTACTTCATGAACCCGAAGACAGTTCAAGTGAGCAAAAAAAAAACCAAAAAAACCAAAAAACAAAACAACAACTGAAAGATGACAAAGTTCTTACGCTCCTTTTCTCATGAAGAATGACATTTTAAAGAGAGATTCAG